GGGGTTCATGAACTTCAGATAGTAAATATTTCAGATTTTGTAGGCCATATGATCTCTGTCACAACTACTACACTCTGCCATTATAGCACAAAAGCATCCATAGATGATACATAAATGAATGATCCTGGCTGCATGTCAATAAAACTTTATTAACAAAAACAAGTAACAGGCCAGATTTGGCTTGTGGGCCAGTTTGCCGATCCCTATGCTAGATTAACAGAAGAAACTATATCCAACACAGCACCGCAACTGGGACTACTACTTAAGTTTACAGTACTCCATTGTTATCCACCATAAGTCATGCAGTTTTTGCAAGGGCCAGACAGGTGAAACTAAATGAGGATATAATGGAGACCAATACCCCAACAACCTTTAAATCTTTAAGGGTTGAACTAATTTCTTCCATTTCCCCCCAGAATGCAGTATTATTTTTTATCGACTATCTTGGCAGAGGGGGGGTACAATTTCAGGAGCCCATCTGTTTGGGCTTTCTGCCAACTGCTAAACATGTTCAATCTGATTAAATATTTGGAAACTGGGAAATGACTATAAAGTGCGTTTCTTGGACACACTGTGAGAAAGATTTAGGCCAGTACTTCATTTTATTATCTGACCGACTGCATATTTCCCCAATGTAATGAGAGTAGTTAGCGGTATTGGGAGGGAAGGCACTGCAGTGGTGCTTTGGGTCCTTGGGTATCACTGCGAACTCAGATTCTGTATACCTGTTTCCCAACTTATAAAATCTGGTATTCTTTCCGCAGTGTATGATTGTGACATTATAAAATATATAATTGGTCTTTGACCCCTTTTCTTGGTATACAACCCCCAAATCCTTAAAATCTTCAAAGTGATACCTTATTGTATTCTAATAAGTTGACTGATGGCTAGAGGCCCCTAAGTAGCTTCAGGATGGGAGCTGGTCACCAAAAAGACCACAGCTGGATTAGAGGGTTGGAACTTTCAGCCCCACCCTCTAAACTCCGGGGAGGGGAAATGGACTGATGATAGAGCTAATCGCCAATGGTTAAACCAATCATGCCTACATATAAAGCCTCCATAAAAAACCAAAAAGACAGAGTTCAGAGAGATTCCAAGATAGCTAAACACGTGAAGGTTCCTGGAGGGTAGCGTGCCCAGAAAGGGCATGGAAGCTCTGCACCCCTTGACCTATACATCTTTTCATCTATTATCTGTTGTAATACCCTCTACAATAAACTGGTAAGTGTGCTTCCCTGAGTTTTGTGAGCTGCTCTAACAAATTAATCAAACCCAAGGAGAGGGCTGTGGGAACCCTGATTTATAGTACAGGCGAAATAACCTGGGGCTTATAGCTGATGTCAGAAGTGGGAGGGGGCAGTCTTGGGGACTGAGCCCTCAACCTGTAGGATCTGACACTATTTCCAGGTAGACAGTGTCAAAATCAAACTAGAGGACACCCAGCTGGTATGCACTGCAGAACTGATTGCTTGCTCATTATGTGGGGGGAAAATCCCACACGGTTGGTCACTGAAGTCTTCTGTGTTGATTGTGTTATGGTAAGAGAGGGAAAACAGATTGTTTTTCTACTCAATGGTTAACTGAGTAAATGGCTCTCTTTCAATTGATAGTTTATGAGTGTAAGAACTATCTAAGGCTTAGATACCGGACAAGCGATTGTGACTTTTCATTGAAGTTACTGACCTCAGCCTTCTGCTCAACAATTCTTGATCTCTTATACATAAATTGATACTCTCCTTGGCTATCTGTCTTGCCTCTGGGACCACCCATGTTCTATTAGCCATCTATACTTTGACCTTGCTACCCTTATCAAAATTCACCACCTTTTCTGAGAGTTAAGTGTTGTCATCTAGCCTTTGCTACGTCAGAATCCTATTATCCCCATTGCTACCAGGGAAACTAGTTCTTTAACATCTTCTACTAGTTTCAATCTACAGAGACAGCTACTTCTACATTTCTCAAAGATGCTAGTGCCCCTTCACCAGTGCCTTTCCTATTGCCTTTATTTAAAAAACAAAAATTCCCTAGGAGTTTTTGAGGTATATATGGTCAGTTGATGCATTTTCCAGTGTTATGTAACATTCATTTCTACATGCCTACTTCCTCAAGTCTTTTTTGTATGGTCTGCCATCTCCACTTCATTTAATGTGGGCCATTTTTTTTTGCTCAAGCTCCCCAAAGTCATCTTAACAGCATATTATAACTGCCTCTTGGAGCCTTGACAGGATGTTCCAGAGTCACAGGAAAATGTTCCTATTATAACGAATTCTGTATAAATTCAATTCTTAATTCATGAAGCCAGTTATACAACCACAAATTTGTTATCTAACATACAGAATTTTGGAACAAAGGAGCAACTCCTTTAAATTTTGAGAGCAGCATAAATATTTCATATACAGCTGAAACCTAAGCTTTGTAATGGTTATTTTTAAGCAGCAGAAAAGACTAGAGAAATGCTACAGATGTTCTTACAGAGACACATTCTTGCTGAAGAACAAGTTCTCTAGAGGCAATCCTCAAATAGGAGAGAACAAGTACAGATATGTACCAGTTTGGCTACGATCTATGGAGAGATGGAGGGCCCTAGAGCACTGCTACTCAAAGGGGGTTTGTAGACTTGTGCTGGTCTGTGAACAGTTTTTTTACCTGTCTGTGACATGATACATTAGAAAATGAGAATGTTTAGAAACTTTTTAGCATTTTGACATTGCTGTGATACCCAAGCACATCATCAGTGGACTTAATCTGTTGAACAGGGTTTGGCCAGTTTGGGTGTTGTCAAACTTGCATGGTAGATAGCATACAGTGTGAAATGTATACCCGTATGGGCAATAGGAACATATATTGACACATAAAGGATTGGATATTCAAAAAACAAAAAACCTGGTCCTTTACCACATATAGTTTGAGAAGGACTACCACAGAGTACCAAGCTCCATACCTCTACAAGTCCTAGAGTAAGTCAAATAGTGTTTCTGGAACAGAGAGTAACCTGAGGTCAGCTAGGTCAAATTCAATCAAAATCAAAATGAAAATGAGTGCTTTGGGAAAAAAGCCAAAATGGACTACAGTATCAATTTAGATTCCTAGAGTAAGCCCCAGTCAGGCTAGCAGAACTGAGAATCTATAAAACAAAACTGGTAGGACAAGAGGCACAAGGGTCAAGGGGCAGGGCCCTTTTGTTCTTCCCTTCTCCTCTCCTTGTCTAATTTTTGGTTGGAGCTTTAAGGAGAAAATTTTGGCCTTTAGGCTCTGTGACCATCATCATAAGTCTGCCTGTACTTTTCCATCTCTCAAAGAATATGGAAGTCTCACATTCAGACCTAGGCTCTTCCATGCTCTCGTAAGGTACAGCAGCTGGACCTTCCCAAGCAGCTTGAGGCCTCAAGAACATTTCTTGCCTTGCCAATACCACAGAATGTGTGAGTTCTTCAAGGGGTGAAAAGTCTTAATCCAAGGGGAAGTGACATGTCAGGAGCTCCAAGTGACTTAGATGATAAATGTAAATCTGCTCTGGCAGATTTTCTGAGTGAAAACAACTCACTCAGCTGGGCTGACCAGAGTATCCTCCAACATATAGTAGCCAAGGTCCACAGAACCACTGGGAGCCACAGAGAAGGGTAAGGTCAGCTCAAAGAGAAATAATTTAAAAAAATATGTTAACAATATATTACTAACATTAATAATAACAATGGGAAATGTTAAAACAGAATTACAAGTTGAAAGGCTTTCCAGATTGAAATGCTCAGGAGAAAATAAGGAAAAGATGGCCACCCAGTCTCTTTTGCCAACTGAGATACAGAATGAAGAGAGGAAGGGTGGTGGGGGTGGAGCTCAGCACTACAATATCATGTAGAACTAGTCTCCTAACATTCCTCACTCTGCAGCTTACAGAAGGTGAGGAAGATCAGAAACAGACCTGAATGAAAAACAGGCCACACTCCTCACTCAGAATATTTATTAGTGCCTCATGGGGCCTGCAGGAAAAGGGACCCAGGCTGCACCCCTCCCCCTTATCCAAGCTACCTTCTTGAACCAAGGGACAGGATTCTAAGGGAATGAAATATCTCGAATAAGCCAGAATGTACCTGGGGAAGAATGGCAAATCATTTCCCAGACCTGACACTACAACTGTTTGCCAGGCAGAGAGGGAGCCGGTGAGACTGGTGGATAGACTAGACAAGGGGAAATAGGATGGGCCCTTTATTGTCCCAGCTTGGGCTCAAAGGGTTAGAATAAACAAGTATTTAAAAAAGAGAGGAAATAAGAGGACAGGCAGGGGACAAAGGAAGGTCAGGGGCTGGGTCACCCAGATCACACAGCATCGTAGGAAGAACCAGGTTAGCGACATGAGTTTTCAGGCTAGAACAAGGACTTAAGGGCTCAGCACCTGGGGAGAAGAGAATCTCAGGGCTTCTCTTCCAACCTTACCATGATTAGATGCAAAAGCCCTTTCTCCCTTTAGAGAATTTGGAACAGTCTGTCTGATGGTGAGATGGCATGGTGACAGACCTGTAACCCAGCCCAGACTAAGTTTCTCCTCATTCCCAAAGGCCCTGCCAAGAGAACCAGAAATACAAGAGTCCCAGGACTCTGCCCCTGCTCCCTAGATCCAAAAGAGGGAGTAGAGACAAGGCACAAAGACCCGGGCATAAAGGTGAACATCAGTGTGGCCACATCTAACGTTATTTTGGGAGAGGAAAGAAGGTGCATGCCACAAAAGGGATGCCTTCCTTCACCTGGCAGGTAGCTAGGCCTTTGATAGCAGCAGAAACCACAATGGAGTAGGGCTCCCAGAAATGACCTGCAAAACAGACCCTATTCCCAGAAAGACAGAGGAAAAGCCTCAGCTGGTATGGCACAGTCTTGAAGGGGATGACAAAAGGGCAGCGGGCAGACCGCTCCCACAGACGACACTCCTGCCTCTGTTCCCAATGGTTCTGCTGACTCCAGATGTTCCCCATGGCTGGGACTCAGAGAGGAAAACGTGTTGTGTTTCACATGATCAGACACTGTTCACCACTGGCACCTGGTGGGCCCGAAAGATTGAGGGCATCCAGGTCAAAGTTGAGGCCAGGAGGCTGGAGAAGAGATGAAGGGACTCAGATAATTGCTCATATTTCAGGTCAGAGCTTCCAAAGGTCCATCCCCAGTAGCCACAATTATCACCTTAGGTGGATTCACTAGAGGTTACAGAATTATGGAAGCTATGGGGGCTCAGATTAAAATCTAGGAGGAGAAGACATACTCACCATCTCCCCAGCCAGCTCTTTTGGAGGGTGGCCCAAATCCTGTAACTGAAAAATGAGGAAAGAAGAACATGAGATAGAGGAAACCCCAGAAAACAGCAGCCCAGAAGAGAAACCTGATTAATGATTTTTCTGATTTCTTCTGAGAACCATATTATGTGGCCTCTCTTGTGATCCCTCCTCCACCCAGGTCTGGCAGTGAAGCATCCTTCCTAGATCCCTCCTCCACTGAACATCTAAGTCGGCAGCACCAGTGGGCAGATGGCAAGAAGAGGCCTTACCTGTTGCATAAGATCCAGCACCGTCTCAAAACGAGCCTTTTGAGTGGCCTCACTGTCTGTGGGGGTCTCTGCCTCAAACTGTTCACATATTTTACCCATGACACTGTGCTGCTCCTGATATTTTTCAAACTGTTCTGGAGGTAGAGATTCCCGGTGACTCTGCAACCATTCTGGATACTAAGGAAATAAAGAATGGGTAGAGAAAAATTAAGTAAACAATGAATATGGAAAGGTACTGAGAACAATACTTAAAATGTGAAAGGGAAAGGGAAACACAAGGAAAAGCTAAATAAGCAAGTTCACCATGAAAAGCAGCATTGCCTCCAACTAGATCACCTGCCAATATCAGTATTTATGGTCACCAAAGATCGGCAAACTTTTCCCTCATGAGGAAGGGCCAGATAGTAAACATTTTAGACTTTGAGGGCCACATATGGTCTCTATTGCATATTTTCTTTGTTGTTTTCTTAAACAACCTTAAAAACGTAAAAACCATTCTTTGCTTAAGAGTTGAATCTGCCTCACCCACACCTTGGTCTGCTCACTCTTGGTCCACACTATTCCTTTTACACTTAACCATATGTTGTCCTGTGTCACTGAAATGCTTCCATACCTATATTTTATCTCTCCAGCTAAACCATAAGCTCTCTGATGGCAGGGACCATCATTTAAACTACTCTTACACTGTTCATGACATAAAGCCAGTAAATGCTCAGTGAATCCTTGCTGAGGAAATGAATGGAGTCAGAAATGCAAGAAAGGATTGATTAGACAACAACTCCAGAGTCTTGAACCAGTTTACGAAAAACTAGAGCTGAAGGATTTCCCCTTCTACTCTAGACATTCTCAATGCGGTAGCTTTATTCTCTCAGAGACACAACTTTCCCCAGCCCGCAACTCTCCCCACCCCCAATAAATGAACAAAGGAGAAAAAAAACGGAGGGATTTGCGCACTCAGGTTACTCTCTCTCTCTCTGCAGGCTATGAGTAGACAAAACAGCCCATATGAGTTGATATAATGGAGAGTGAGGAAAAAAAGCAGAAATGGAAGTTAACAAACCTTTTCTGTGATCTCCTTCAGGGATGGGTATAGCACATCCTTGGACAATAGGTTCTGCATAATACTCTGCATGATGGGGAGGATGTTTCCTTCCCCATCCCCTTCATCCATGCCCAGCCCCTCCATGGCCTTGGTCAGCTCCTCTTCTGACATGCCTGAGTTCTAGACAGGACAAGAGAGAGGTAAGCAAATATACTGCTTTACTGGGATGCTTCCCACTCTTTCAGGTAGGAAAGATAAACTTATCTGAACTTGCCCGTAACAAAACAGTGAAGCAGAGACAGACTTGGGATGATATTCAAGAGCATCTGTCTTTTGAGACCCTGCTGGTGAAGTGTCTGGGAATGGGCCCCTGACCCCTTCCCCCTCACCTGAAGGTCAGTGGCATTTTTGGCTAGTCCACTTAGTGTCTCCTTTAGGCAAGAAGTGAATTCTTGTTGGGAGGTTGCATCACTGCCTAGGAGAGATCAAAAAAAAAAAAAAAAAACAACAGTGTCATTTAAGATTTTAACTGTTTCCTTGCCTAGAATGAACCGGTTACCAGCTTGGATATGAAGCATTCACTAGTGAATCACTATCACTCCAAATCTTTGAATTCTATAGTTATCTTCAGTCATTTCATAAATCTACACTATGTGTTAAGTTTATTCTCTATGATAACATCCACAGTAATACACTGGCCTTTAAAATGATCAGTTTTGAATAATCTTTTCTATTACTTTCCAACCTGTCTTCCCCTTTTCACTAAGCAGGGTTCCCATCCCTGCTCCCATCGCCTTGTCCCACCCCATGGCTGTGACATCATGATTGCTATCAACTTTACTAAGAATTCTGGTGTTCTCCCTCTTTTTATTTTTTTTCACAGCTCCCCCTCCCCCCGGCCTTTCCTCTGAATTCTGGTGTTCTCAAGCAACAAACACTTAAGAGGTCTGTTCAGATGTATCCATTTGTCTGAGGTCCTCTCCTCACCCACTCTCCCTGCAGCCTCTGAGAGCTTTTGGAACTGTTCCACCAGGTGGGGCTCTTCCTCAGCCAGCTCCTTCATTGCCTTCTCGAACTCTGCAGTGGCTTGGGAAGCCAGCTCGCTGTCAAACAGTTCCTGGAAAAACTTCTCTTGGGAGGCGAAGAGGGCATCCTGCAGGGAAGGGGTGGCCACAATGCATCTTACTTGGCATGGTACTGCACCTGACCTCTGACAGAAGCCACAGGCAGTTGCTCTGGGAAATGCAGTGCCTCCCTCCTGCCCACTTCCACTGCACATTCTAACTACCGCTCCTAATGAGGACAGGAAAAAAGGTATCTGGCCATTGAAGGAGGGTATGGGGTGGCATACCAATCCAACTATTTAAACCTGCTCTTTTCTCAAGGACTCCCTTGAGATCCCTCCACTCAACCTCAAGCCCCTGTTTTACAAGGACTGAGGTCTGTAAGAGCTCTCAGCAATGTGAGGCCAAGGCACCCTCCCCCAACCTCTTCCCCTCTGGCCCACAGGGCCTGCCCCACCTCTATTCAGAGCTACATGCCCAACCCCTCCCCCTCTCCCTTAAGGGGTGGAATTTATACTTTGGCAGTGTCTCCTGGCGATCTCTTCTGGGGCCCCGAAGCATCAGGGGCCGTGGTGGTAGGAGGGGGTGCTGGGGAGGGTTTGGCTTTATCGAAATCATCAAGAGCACCTTCAGAGACAAGAGACATGGTGTATGTGTTGGGGATGAATGAGGATGGAACGCAAGGTGGTTTCTGGGCAAAACATTAGGAAAAAATATCTTTAAAATTGCCAACTTTCCTCGATTTCCTCCTTTTTTTGAATCTCTTCCCTCCCCACCAATAAATAAGCCTCCCACTTCCCTTTGGATTACCTAATTTATTGTGATCAAAGGGTTAAAAATCCCTTAAGGTGGAACAAGTGTCCATTCCCAGAGCTGGAAGTAGAGAGTTAAAAGAAGTTCTGCAAAGACATTGCCATTTACCGTGTCTCCCTCACCACGATCTAATGATTCCCTAGAAATTTCATATAACTATCCAACAGAAGCATAAATATCCTTATCCCCTGAACGCACTCTGGAGTCCTAAAAGGAATAATCTTCGGCAAGAAGGCACAAGATGTCCCCCCCAGCTTACCACTGGTCCTGGTACTAGTACAAACTGAGGGACTACGCATTGCACTCCATGGGAGAGCATTAAACTCTCTTCTTTTATCCTCCAACATAGCTCTTCTGCAAGCTCCTAGCGCTTCCTCTGGCCTTATCTCTGCAGATAACCGTATGCCAATTCACAGAGTCACTTGGCACTCCTCACCGTTTCTGTTCATTTTTCTGCCTGCCCACATCTCTGTGACTAGGCAGGAAATAAAACATTCACCTCTGCCCTGAAAAGCCTGTGTTGTCACCACCACTCTGTTTGCCAGGCGCAGGGAGAAGGCACTGGCCCCACTCTGGGAAGGAAACCAACAGAGGAGTAAGGGACAAGGCACCGTCTTTCAGGAGGGTGAATTGTCTTCCCCTGAAATCACGTCGTCCCAGTTTCTCAAAATAATAGGAAAGGAGTCTTCATGAGCTACTGACATGATGAAAGAACTGTAAGGAGCCTGGTGAGAGAAACAGAAAAGACTAGGACGAGAAAAAAAGTGTCTTTTGTGTTAAGGAAGACAGGACAAGGCACAGAAGGATGGGCTGCAGGCTTGTTAGGAGTTAATGTCGCTTCGCTGCCCACCGAGGACCAAATGCTGCTGGTCCTAACGGGGTTTGGGGCGGGGAGTCAGACTTCCAAGAACTTAACTAACCTGAGAACAAGGAGACTATGGAGGGGGATCGTGAAACACCGTCCTACGGGTTACTGTTTCCTCCTCCAGCAGGATGATCCAAGGTCTGGGACGGTCAGGGACCCACGCTGAGCTCCCCAACTCCCGCCAGGGAGGTGGGACAGGATGACCCAAAGATTTTTTGGGGGTTGCAGTCAGACACTCCGCCCCCGGTCTAACATTGGAGAGCATCTCCCGCCCTGCCCCAAATATCTCAGGTTCACTTAACCCCCTGAATGGGTCCTCACAATCGCCCCCTTCGGGCCTTTTCCACTACGGGCTCTTACTTTCCAAAAGCTCCTCCAATTCCTGGTCCGCGTCGGCGCCGCCACCACAGTCACCCTCAGCAGCGGCCATCTTGCTGCCTCCGACGTGCCGTAGGAGGCGGGACCTCTCGGCGCCGCCACGTGCCCCACCCCTCGCTCGCGCGATTTGCCTCGTGCACCCAATGGTATTGTTGGCCGGTGCGGAACCGCCATTTTTAAAGGGACAGGAAGCTCTGGGGTTTGGGGTTTTTTTTTCCCCCCTTCACCTGGAACCACAGAACTAAGGAGAGGGGGAATTTACTGTTATCTTCTACCTGGTTTCTTAATGGCCTGGCCTCCTTTCTTTCAACTTACCACATTACCCGGGGAAACTTTCATCACTTCTTCCTGAGCTGTGGGTAGGCCAGATTGGGACAAACTGCCTACAAATAACTAGAATCTGTGCATATGTAATCGAGAAGACATTATGGGGCGTAACATACTATTTTCTCTCACTTCCTTCAGTATATCACTCAGTGTATCTTCTCTGAAGCGCTTTCTTTGGCCTTACTAAATAAAATTGCAAACCCGTCCCAATACACACACACATCCACACTTTCTATGTCCCTTCCTTCTTTTTTTCTCTAACACTAACATACTGTATCATAACATACACTTGTTTATAGTCTGTCTCCCACCTCGCAGAATTTAAGCACTATGAAGGCAGGGATTTTCGTCTGTTGTCTTCACTGCTGTATCCGCAGCTCCTAAGCTAGGGCTCAAAACTTATTGCACTCATTGGCCACTCTTTGCTCTCTCCAACTCTAATTAGGCATATTTGTCTGCCAAATCTAGTGGATATCTCTCATTTCCTATTCTCTATTAGTACTGTCTGACTATACAACATAAGGCCCGGAATTTAGAACTCAATGTTATAAAAAGTGACTCTGGGACCTCAGACTGAGCAAGAGGGCAATTCGAATATACTTGCTTTCCCTGACCTATCTCCTTCTCTTCATACAGAACCCAACCTCCAATTGAATGACATTGTGGGATGCTCAGATAAACTCTAGACTTCCTTTCCGTCCTTTGGAATTGTTCTATTCAAATCTGTCAGAACATAGCAACTGTTTCAGACACAATCTGTTTTAGTAATTAGAGAGTACCTTGTGCTGAGGCTGGGTGCTGTGTCTCATGCCTGTAATCCCAGAACTTTGGGAGGCTGAAGCAGGAGGATTGCTTTAGGCGAAGAGTTCAAGACCAGCCTGGGCAATATAGGGAGAACTTATCTCTACAAAAAAAATTAAAAATAAGCTGACGGCCAGGCATGGTGGCTCACACCTGTAATCCTAGCACTTTGGGAGGCCAAGGCAGGAGGATCGCTTGAGGTCAGGAGTTTAAGAGCAGCCTGAGCAAGAGCTAGACCCCGTCTCTACTAAAAATAGAAAAAATGAGCCGGGTGTGGTGGCACGCGCCTGTAGTCCCAGCTACTTGGGGGCTGAGGCAGGATTGCCTGAGCCCAGGAGTTTGAGGTTGCAGTGAACTGTGAATGATGCCACTCCATTCTACCCAGGGTGACAGACTAAGACTCTATCTTAATAAAAATTAAAAAATAAAGATAAAAATTAGTTGAGCATGGTGGTGCATGCCTGTAGTCCCAGCTACTCCGAAGTCTTAGGCAGGAGGATCATTCAAGTCCAGAAGTTGGAGGCCACAGTGGACTATGATTGTTCCACTGCACTCCACCCTGGGTGACAGAGCAAGATCCTGTCTCAAACAACTTGTGCTAGGCACAGTGCAGGACAGAGAGAGAAAACAGGACTACCACCTGCTGAAAGGTAGCTAACTAGGGGTAGGCTGGAGGTTGGATTAGATATACACACAAGTATGACATAAGAATCTTTTTTTTTTTTTTTTTTTTGAGACAGAGTCTCACTTTGTTGCCTGGGCTAGAGTGCCATGGCGTCAGCCTAGCTGGCAGTCTAGTGTACAAATACATCTTGTTTGATATCATTCCTACTGATGAAACCGTTATCTGTTTCTTACACTGAACCATTTTACTGTTTCCAAAACCTTCGTTGTGATGACCTTCTTGTCCCCGCTGGCAGATGCTGCTGAAGTGAGGCCGCCTGGGCCACTGCTCCCTCCGCTGCTGCCTATGGTGCTAGGCCTGGTATTGGCAGCGCAGGGGAAGGGGTGGCAGGTGGCTGCTGGGTCTCGGCCTCACTGCTCATGGTTGCAGTGATGGTGACTGGGGCCAGCTGCAGCAGCTATGGCTCCTTCTGATGTGTGATGGTAACTAGGCCAGCAGCAGAGGTGGGACTGCTCAGTGTTCTCTGGGGGGTCCACTCTGCACTCCTGCTACCTATTGAACTCCAATTATTCTTAGTATGACAAGCAAGATACTCTATTGCCAACGTAATCATTGTAATACACATAAAGTACTAATTATTCATATATATATAAAACATGTAAAATATCAAGAACAGTGACAGGCACATGGTAGGTGCTCAATAAATACTGGCTACAACTAGCAACAGATGGAAGGTTGCAATCAAAAACAGAATAGAGGCTGGGCGCGGTGGCTCACGCCTGTAATCCTAGCTCTCTGGGAGGCTGAGGCGGGCGGATTGTTTGAGCTCAGGAGTTCGAAACCAGCCTGAGCAAGAGCGAGATCCCGTCTCTACTAAAAATAGAAAGAAATTAATTGGACAACTAAAAATATATGGAAAAAATTAGCCGGGCATGGTGGCACATGCCTGTAGTCCCGGCTACTCGGGAGGCTGAGGCAGGAGCATCACTTGAGCCCAGGAGTTTGAGGTTGCTGTGAGCTAGGATGACGCAACGGCACTCTAGCCCAAGCAACACAGTGAGACTCTGTTTCAAAAAAAAAAAAAAAACAGAATAGAGGAGCTACTTGGCTTTCTATCATCCTCACAGCAGTTTAGGTCTATGCCTCACATATAGCCCATGAAAAATATGTGCTTCTTTCCTTTTCCAAAAGTGGATATTATTTTATAATTAAAAATAATTATTGTGCCAGGTGTGGTGGCTCACTCCTGTAATCCTAGCACTTTGGGAGGCTGAGGCAGGAGGATTGCTTGAAGCCAGGAGTTTGAGACCAGCCTGGGCAACATGGCAAGACCTTGTTTCTAAAAAAAAAAAAAAAAAAAAAAAATAGAATAAAAGAAAAAAATTACTGAGAGAAAGATATCTGCTTTGGTGGGGCAGCTGCATGAGGTGAACAGGAATATGAGTGTGTCCAGGAAATAAATGGCAAGCCAAGAAGCTCTTGTAGAAATTTATTTAGTGTGAGAAACAAAATACGAGAACAGCTGTAAAGGGCAATTCAATAGCAAGTGGTTATGTACAAGCAGTGTGCATTTTGGAAAACCAAATGATTTCTTCTGAGACCTTAAGTTTCTGGGTACACTGAGGATACCTACCTGGGAGTTTAAATGCCTAAGGAAAATGGGAAATGACTAAGAGTTGGTATGGCTGAGTCAAAAACGGCATCTTATTTATTACACCCTGCTCCTCTCTAGTAGAAAGGAAACAAAGCTGGTGGGGAGGGGAGGAATAAATACTAAGGAATTTACTAAACATATGTCCATTATAGAGTATTCAATTGTTCCTTGAAGGAGCTAAGCGAGAAAGGAGAGGCCAACTTTGACCATAACTGTAGTCAACTTCAGAAGATATGTCCTCAAAAGTCAAGTTTAGACATTTTGACTTGCCAAAGAAGAAGACAAAATGATGCTAGGTTTTAGGGCAGAAAGAGCCAAATATCAATAATCTAAAGGGTAGCTGCAGGGTCGGGGTGGGGGTAGGTGGGTGGGCAGTGGTGTTAGAAGGAGGATATAAAGACTAACACATTCTGGGGGGAACATACGGTGGCTGACCCACACCCACAAAGGGGGCCTTAGCGAAACTGCAGAGGACTGATCCTTAGACCAATCACATCTTTGCCAATCTCTGTCACCTGCAGAAGAGGAAACAGAGGAACAAATTAGAGATTCATGAGGTTAAGAACCCTAGAAAGTTTATTCTCTATACCCCTTAATAAGCACAGTAGATGGGTATAATTGTTGCTGATTGGTAAAGAGCAGTGGGGAGAAGCTCTAGCTTTCTCTAGTGTCACACCTCAATGGAGCTAAGGGCAAATACAAGAGAAAAAAAGGACCATCATGCTTTCTCTTTCCTCTTCCCTCAACATCCTAGATATTTTTTTCTTAAATTTCTTCCTTTTTTCTCATCTCTTAGGGAGGTAGAATTAGATATATTTCTTGAGGATAGTACTTACTGTAGTGACCTTGCAGATTTGACCCTTGAACTCAGGGGAATAGCAGGCCCCGCTGAGTGGACACTTCTCTACTGGCTTTCCACGGTAGATGGGCCGATAAGATGCAGCGCAGATGTCGAAGGGGTTGTGCATGTCATAATTGAGCTGGCAGGCATCTGTGGGGTTCTTCTCACAGGCAGACAGGATTTTTCGAGTCTAGGGGAAGGATGGAGTGTTTTATTGAGGACAGAAAACTGCACACAACTCTAAGGATCTCATCGCCATGGTTTGGTAGTTCCTTTGATGTGAGATGCAACTGTATTATGTGGATACAGGTCCCAACCTCTGTACAGGATGTATGTGAATAGTTAACAGTCATCATTCCTGTTGTATCAAGCTTTCCCCCCTCTCGATACTAAAGTGGACCCATGGATCTAGACTCACATTCTTCCACCAGGTCTGGGGATTATCAGGGTCAGGCCCAGAAAGGGTTAAAACAGGCTTTCATCACCCAAGAAGAATGCTTTTTGGAGGGCACAAGTAATAGGATGTGTATATGACGGTTAGTGGTGGTTGTGTTGGGATATCTGGAGCTTAAGGATAAGGCTGGGGTTATTTTCAGGTGCAGTAGAGCCTTTTCTATGTTGTAGATCACTCTCACGCCAGTGGCATCTATGAATAAATTACTGATTCAGTTTCCAGGAACAAAAAGAAGCACCTATGTCAGTAAGTAAACAGAGGATGGCATTCTGTTGGCTTTTTTGGTTGAATATTATACATTGCTTTGTTTCAGAGGCAAGGACTTTGGTCTGCTCCTTCCATGTAAGAGAAGATCTGGTTCTCCTGTGGTCACTGAAAGAGTTCCCACCTACCTGTTGAGCCACCTCAGGCTTGGGACCAAGTTCCAGCAGGCGCCGAGCAAAGGTGGCAGCTGTCTTGAAGTTCTTAAGCTTGAAGAAGAGGTTGAGGGCTGTACGCAGCACCAGGATCATGTGCACAGGCTGCAGGTTTGAGTGGGTGAAATAGGCTGCCATCTGGTGGATAGAAAGAGGAATACATGCCAGGCTCATGCCACAGCTGGTACAGGTCATTTCTAAGCTGCTACATATGCAAAAAACAAAACACAACAATAGGACTAGCTATAAAGCAGAGTTACCCTCCATAACTAGGAGAGTCCTCCTAGTTATGGAAGATTGATGAGATGAGGAAGTAGGGTGAAGAAATGTAGCCTCTCCAAGCAGAAATGGACCCAAATTTCTCTTCTTTCCCAGAGACACATCTGGGTTTGGAATTCAGACCTAATGGAGGGAGAAGGGGAGGATGCCTCTGTAATGCACACAGTCCCATAGATCTTACCTCACAGATGCGCTTTTGCTGTTCTAGAGTCTCTTTGGGCAGCTTCTTCCTTTCTATCTCCATCGACAAACCCACAATGTACTCGCGGCAAATAGTGATGAGCTGCTGGGCCTGGAGAGAGGGCAGAGGAAGGTAATGGAAGAGAGACAATGTGGGATGTGGATGCCCAGGACTGGCACAGTGGCTAGACTCCTCCTACCTCTGCAATCTCCTGTTTATTGTCCACAACAAGAAGTGGCACACTCAGTAGGATGGAACGGAATTTTTCCACAGCCTCCTCAAACTTGCCAACTGTGGTGAGTTGGTAGCACAGCTGCAACCGTTGGATGAGGTCATTAAGCTTCAGGCCCACAGCCGGTACACCATTCTTTAGCCCTGCATCCTTCCTGGAAAGGGAAAAGTAGGAAGGAGGATAGTCAGCAGCCAACTAGGACTCAATTTCTTTTTCTGCCAAACATCATCATAGCCATCATCCTGTGAAATTAGCTGGAGATAGGATGGCAGTAGGTATAAACCCCAAACCCCATAGAATAACAAACCAAAGATTTTTTCCTACTAGGAAACCCTGGTTCTGAGATGATTCTGTGTCACTGAGGCTACCATGTGAAGTATCTACCGAAACTTGGAACAGATGGAAAAAAGAAGCAAGGAGCCTTACCAATTACGATTAGGGTAGCCATACAAGGCAGGCAGGCAGGGCAGAGCCTGATAGGTGGTACGGCCTCGGGCATATGTCTGTAGGAACAGCTGCTTGTAGGGGCCAAACTGGATGACCCCTACCTGGTCATGAAGGAGCTGGGACACAGAAGGAAAGAAACATAAGGATTTTGGCCCTGCCACTTAAAAACTGATTGACCTTAGGCAAGGTACTTAACTTCTCTGTACTTGTTTCCTCATCAGTAAAATACACTTAATTATAAGACCCTACCTCATTTAATAATACCTATAAAATATTTAGGATAGTGCCTGGCACACAGTGAACACTGAATAAATGTTAGTGGTTGTTGCAGTTGCTATTATTGTTGTTAATTTTATTATAATACATGGTTTAGTGTTCCAACGTACACCTATTCAGGAAGGGGTGCTAACTTCACTGATGTGAGCTGGAAATGGGTGGAAGATGGCTGAAGGATCTACCTTAACAGATTGCTAGGCCAACTGGAAAGCAGGCAAGAGGAAGACCTTATGAGGTAGGTATACTTAACCAAGACCAAGGGCTTCCGTGATGATTATATACCTCTGCCCTTTGAGTAGGATCACTTCCATTTGGTTAGAATCAGTCAATCCTCTCCCTGGGACCCTGAGCTAGGCACACCCAAGAAGAAGAACCAAGATTACTTTAAGAAGACTTACCCGCATGGCTGTTTCAAAAGAGCCTGCCAGGATGTGATCAACTGGAAGCTGAGAGTTATTGCACCAGATCTAACAAGAAACCAAAAGCCCAAGCCAAGTGAAATTTTGCCCTTTCTCTTCCTAAACTATTCTCCTCCACACCTATAGTACAAAAATATCCAACATTTTTTATACATTAATCAAGTATTAGCCAGCTCTGAAATACTCATCCCCACAGGGCTGTGTTTTCCTGCTTACCTGAGTGGGGCTTGTTCCCTTGGTTGGGGGCACAAAGAACCCATCTTCAGCCCCACCAGCTGCCCCAGAGGGTATATCCTAGGAGAAAAACAAAAATTGAGTCATTTTTTAAGCCATTTTGTACAAAAGAATCTAAAACACAACAATTTACCTTATTCCCTGCCTCTGTTGGGGAGGTATGGTACTTGTGGGAGAAGATCCCCAAAATAGAAGCCACCTCACTAGTGACAAAATGACACAGCAAAAGCTTCAATTCCGATTTAAGGAAAGACAAAAAGCTTGCTGCCTTTTCACAAGCTACTGCTTATACAACCCTGATTCTTCTTTCTTTCAAATGAGACAAAAGCGTCTGATTAGAGGTAGGTTCTAGATCCCCTGCTCTTCCGGTATATCAGGATAGATGGAAGTGATAAGGCCTCTGACTCTCATTCTTCCTTCTTTCAATGGGAGATAAGCATCAGATCAGAAGAAGGGTCTAGACTCCCTTCCTTTTGGAGTCCTCAGGATAGGGGTGGGGGATAATAAGGCCACTGGCTTCCACAGGGAGGAATGGCGAGAACCTCACAAGGGTAAGAATTCCACATACCAGCTCAGGAGGGAGCTCTAGATCTTCTTCTACATCCCAGCCACCACCTTCTTCCTGTCCTTTGCCAAGAGCATCATCCCCCAAACCTTCTGTGGCCTCCACAAACCCTTCTGTAAGGAAAATCAAACTCAAAATAGATTTGGATAGTGGCACAATCTTAGCCAAATGAAGCAAAATGTCGGCATCCTCGTTGGCTTCATGGTCTGGAAGCCTGTAGAACTGTCCCACAACCCAGTCCCGTTCCAGGGAGTTCATCTCCCAGAACAGTCCTAAAACAGCACTCTTACCTTCATCCAGCTGCAGCTCCGCATCCTCTCCCCAGCCCTCAGTACCAACAGTGTCAATGTCAATGTCAGCAGCCAGTGCTCCTCCCTTCCCTACGGGAGGAACAGAAAGGAGCTTGTTACAGCCCAGCAAATCTGAGATTCTGAGATATGGCCTTCTTTGCAGGCAAGCTGCATCCTTTCAAAATCAGGTACCAAGGTTCTACCCACTTATTATTTTTATGTGTCATTTATTTTTGTAGTATATGTTATGCTAACTTGCAGTAGGTTTCATAGAGGAAGGGAATATAAGAGAAATGGACGCACCTGGCCTTCATGTTACCAAAAACTGTCCCTTAAACCATTTTTTACTTATCAGCCTCTTCAAATTTCTTCCTGATAGCTTCGCAGGGCTTCACAACATAGAGTAGGTGGAGGAGACAGAGGAAAGAGCAGGGCTGGGCACAAAATGCCCAAGGGTCTGTTTAGGCTCTTATTCAGGAGAAGTGAATTAGGAGACACGTCCAAGAAAACAGGAGGAGAGTAAGGAGGGGAGTGGTGGAGGGTTGTAGCACACATCTGCATATTGCCAAATAACAGAATTAGAGGTAGCTGAAGGTTTTTTTTGTTTTGTTTTTTAATTGAGACAGGGTCTCGCTCTATTGCCTGGGCTAGAGTACAGTGGTATCGTCACAGCTCACTGCAACCTCAAACTCCTGGGCTCAAGTGATCCTCCTGCTCCAGCCTCCCAAGTAGCTGGGACTACAGGTGTGTGCCACCATATCTGGTTAAATTTTTTATTGTTTGTAGAGACAGGCTCCCACTATTGCCCAGGCTGGTCTCAAACTTCTGGCCACAAGTGATCTTCCTGCTTTGTCCTCCCAAAGTGCTAGGATTACAACAGGCATGAGCCACGGTACCCAGCCAGCAGCTGAGGATTTATGTCATGAATGATAAAATACTGAACAGAGACTATGACTATATACACATGGTAAAACCTAAGGAAATACACCAAAATATTAACAGAAGTTATCAGTGGTAGTAGGGCATCCCTGCTTTTCCCCCCTATTTTCCCAATTTTCTTTAATGATCTCAAAATGATTTTATTTAGTTTTTAAGACTGCGCCATAACTCTGATTGGCATTTTAGTGCTCCATGAGGCTTCACACAGAAAAAAAGACAGATGAAACTAATTGCTAATGGTACTCTCTAGGACAGTTCTTCACAAAACAACAAACAACAAAAATGCTATGACAGAACAGGGCACTTACCCTTGCTGGCAATGGAGCCTTCAAAGAATCCTTTGGACACAGTCAATAAAGGCCAGTTGGTATCTAATGGCATGATAGGTGCAGGTGGCTGAAGCAGCTTGGCATTAGGGTCAATGTCTGGGATCTGAACAGCAGCAGAAGAAAAGAGGCAAAAAGCAAACAGCTCTCAGAAATCATGTAGGGAAAGTTATAGAGTTTCCTTTGATCTTATGTGTTTCTCTGCCTTCCCCAGTAACAAGGTAGGAGAGTGACATTTATAGTTTTAAATTGTTCCCAAGACCTCAGAGTTAATCCTGTAATCAGAAACAATATGTAAATAAAGACTCACTGTCTCCTTCTCTGGGTCAAATGTCTCCTTCAAGCTCTCAGCTTCTTCATCTAAGCCATGGGTAGCAGCTGTGAGATAGGCCAGGGACTCTATAGAAAAAACAGACTTTGTGGTACAGGGACACCCACTGAATGCTGCTGTGGTAGGCAGCTCTGAGATGAACCCCAAATGATCCCTGCCTCCAGGCATTCAAATTCAAATTCTTGTGTAATGCCCTCCCCTTAAGTGGGGGCTGGACTTACTAACTAGCTGCTAATGTATAGAACATGGCAGAAGTGATGGGATGTCACTTCTAAGATTAGATTACCAAGACTGTGGCTTTTATCCTGAGTGCTCTCTTTTGCTCACTTGCTCTGAGGGAGACCACCTGTCATGTGAATTGCCCTGTGGAGAAGCCAACAGGGCAGGAAACTGATGTCTCCCAGACAACAAAGAGCAAGGACCTGAGGACGGCCAACAGTCATGTGAGTGAGTGTGGAAGTGGATTCTCCCCCAGTTGAGCCTTGAGATGTCTGCAACCCTGGCCAACACCTTGACTGTAGCCTCATGAGAGACACTGAGCCAGAGATACCCAGCTAAGCCATATCCAGAATTGTGAGATAATAAATGTTTGTTTTAAACCACTAAGTTTTGGGGTAATGGTGTTACATAGCAATAGATAACTAATACAGTTGCTTATCTTTAACATCCATCATCATGTTAATGAGAACCTTGGCATCATCCCTGACTTCTCTCCATCACATCGCACATCTAGTACTTCAATAAATCATGTTGACCCTACCTTCAAAATATATCCCAAATCTGACCATTATTCACTCCTCCACTAATAGCACCTTGGTCCAAACCACATCATTCACTTTTCTTTTCCCTAATGTATCTCAAATGCTAATATAATGCTATAGCAGGTTCTCAAAAAATACCCTCTGAATGTATACATGAATAAATAATGAGTGAAACCTCTAGAATTAGAAGTAAAGGAATAAAATTCCAACCAAATATATTTACTAGAGTATCTGTTCTAAGCCTTCTAAAACCTCCTATCTTCCCAACGACTATTTTTCTAAGGGTGTCTGGCCAGACTGAATATTCTGGCTGCGCCTCCATTTGGCTTTGAAGAAAATCTGAGCATGACAGAAGCATGTTGTTTCTCCTGAAAAAATGCACAATAAAGACAAATCCCACACCACTATGTAAGAATAACTCAACATGAAGAGAAAACACTTCCTAAGGCCCCAAAGGAGCTGGTGCGTCCTGGACAGATACTTACTCTGCCCACAGTTCTTTAGGATCCGTACTCGCTCTGACACGTCGCCCAGGTACAGGGCATTCTGATAATGACCACTCATGTCCTTTCGGATCTCAGCTGCACCAAGTCAATAAGAGAAACCATGTTATGTCTTCTCTCCTAAGTTCTCTCTATCCTCTATTCATCTTCCTCCTTCCCCTAAGAACCCCTCTTCCCATCCTTAGTTTCAGGGGCCTCACCAATCTTCATCATCTTGCGAAGTTTCTCCAGGTTGCCAGTGATAAGGTACAGGAAGGAAAGTTTGTCAAAATTTTTGGTACGCTGATAGCACATTTCCACAATCTGGTGGTTCCCCTGTAGCAGGGCCACTTCTCCCAGTTTTTCCCAGCAGTTCTTATCATCCAGTGCTTTGGCTGCTTCCAGAGCAATCTAAAGAATCCCCAGGGTCAGTGTTAACGGGTTGGAGGATACTGTGACTCAAAACCAGCAACTCTGCAGTCAAAGCATTTGCCTCTAAATAAATTTCTCAAGGAAATTCATATATTTTCAATCACTCCTAGCTTTTAATCTAATTCTATTGAAAATCGTATCAACAAATAGCACCCCTTTGGATCCACGGACAGAAGAATCACATCACACTATCCTCCTCAGAAAGTTACTTTACAACAAAATCACCTAGCAGTTGCCGATTCCATAGGGCCAGTTTTTGCTTAGCTACCTTATTTCCTACCTGCCAGGTTTGAAGATACACAGGGACTTTAGGAAAGAAAGAAGAAATAATAAAAAGAGGAGGTTCATAATTAAAAAAAACAATTTTCCTAAGTGCTTTCCCCCTTTGAAAATAATGCCTGTATACTCTGAGCCCTAAAACTTAATAGGTACTCTATCTAAGTAGCCAGTCAGCAAGATTAAGTGTTAAGAAAATATGAGATCTTCAAATTCCATGATATCTGGCTTTTAACATAGAAGTTCTGAATTCAGAACGACAACAATGGTACAAATGCTATGGCAGAAGCAGAGACAAGAAAAAGTAGAGATGAGCAAATAGCCGGAAGATAGCTTAACCCAACAACTAAAAAAATCCCAAATTTCATTATTCTGGCTAAACAAGCAAGCCCAGGATAATGTTGTCCCAATGCTACCCTAACCCTCTCACCTCCTCTAAAGCAGTATGGGAATGATAACCATATTCCTCTCACCTCAATGTTTCCACACTCCAGTGCCAGACTAAAGCGAGTTTTCTCATCCTTGACGAAATGCAGTGCCACCTCCGGATAGCCCTTCTTCTGGAGATAAGCAATAATCGACTGGCCTACTAATTTGGCATTCCTCACCATGTGCAGTACCTAGACATTTGGGATGCGGTAGGGCAGGAAGTAGAGATCACTTACAGGAAAAAATAGAGTGCTGCCCCTCTTAATACTCCTAGTACGCATCCCCAGTTCATACCTCATCATATTTTCTGTTGATCAGGGCCAGCTTGAATTTGAACTCAGTGGGATCAATGGTAAGTACCCGAGGTCGACACTCCCTGTCTAGGCAATATACATTGTTGCCCTTCACTCGTGTGACATAGATGGGTAAATCCAGAGTTCGAATGATCCCATGGTCCCTAAGAATAGGGGGTAGAGGGCACAACTTTCAGTAAGTGAGAGGGAAAATCCAGCCTGTGAAGAAATGGAACGAACTTAGGATATAGCCTTTTGTCTTCTCTTTATCCTTCTGTAAAGTGCCATTTGAACAACAGTATAGATACGAAGTGATTCAAAAGAGAGAACTGAACACCAAATTTTATTTTATTCTTTTGTATGATGGGGCAGATGATATGATCTTTCTTTGTAAGCTATTATTCTAGGAGCTGAGTAATAGACCTGACTATAGGAATCAGACCTAAAAGTTAACTCTTAAGTGCTGATATATATAATCAGTAGGCCACTATGGACAGGTAACTCCTTCTTTATAAACTCTAAGTGAAAAGAGAGGTAGGTATGAAGAGTTCTGACACACAAATAAATAATAAAAGCAGAAAATATTTTGAACTGAATGATAATAAAAAGATTACAATTTAAAACGTTGATTTCTCAGGAGAAACCAGTAAGGGGTAAAAAAAAAAAAAAAAAAAAAACAACTGCCAATATAGCTAATGCAATACTTGATAAATAATTTACAGCCTTAAACGCATACGCTGTATTAGAAGAAATACGAAAAATTAATGGGCTCTATATGCATATATTGGGAGAAACTAAAAATTAGTGAGTATACATCTCAAAAATTTTGTTATTTTAAAAGTTAAACTAAGGAAAGCATTTAGTAGAAAATAAAGCCAATAGTAGAAATTAAGAAATAGAAAACAAAAATAGAGAAGTTCAATAAAGGCAAAAGTTGGATAAAATTGATAAGCCTCTTATGAGGGAATTTAAGAAAAAAGAAGAAAAAGGCAGTAATAGGAGTGAGAAGGAGGATATCACTGTAGATCCTGCAGAGTGAGGATGTAACTTTTTAAAATGATCAAACTCCCCCCAAAATAAAATTTTCCAAAATTGACTCAAAAATAAATAGAAAATCCCTATATAGTCTAATAATTGTTAAGTAAACTGAATCAGGTAACAAAAATCCTCCCATAAAGAAAGCCTCAGGCCCAAATGACTTCACTGGCAAATTCTACCAACATTCAAGGAAGAAATAATTCCAATCTTATGCAAACTCATTGAGAGAACTGAAAAAGATACATTATTTTGCTTATTTTATGAAATTAACACAATCTTGATAGCAAAACCTGACAAGGACAGAAAGAAAAAGGAAAATCATAGTCAATCTCACTTATAAATAGAGATGTGAACATCCTAAATAAAATATAGCAACCTAAAACTAGTGGTATTTGAAAAGGGTAAAAACATCATGACCAAGTTAGGTTTATATCTGGAATATAATGTTGATTTAACATTAAAAAAAATTAACTGAATTCATTATATTGATGAAAGGATAAAAATTATATGACTACCTTAATACAGGTTGAGCAACCCAAATATAAAAATACAAAATCTGAAATGCTCCAAAATCCAAAACTTTTTGAGCGCCAAAATGATGCTCAAAGGAAATGTTCATTGTAGCAGATTGGACTTCAGATTTTCAGATTTGTGATGTTCAACCACTAGTGCAAATATTCCAAAAATCAGGAAAAAATCTGAAATGTAAAACACTTCTAGTCCCAAGCATTTCAGATAAGGGATACTCAAACTGCATATACAAAAAAGATATCTAATAAAATTCAATATTCATTCATGATAAAAAAATTCCTAGCAAATGTAAATAGCAAAAAAAAAAAAAAAAAAGAAAGAAAAATTCCTTAGTAGATAAAGGATATCCATAAAAAAAAAATTTACAGCAAGCTTACATAATGGCAAAACATTGAAAGTTCACCCTTTAAATGGGGAGTAAGATAAGATTGTTTCCTATAATCATATTTATTGAACATAGCTGGAGATCCTGGTCAGTGTAGGAAGAAAAAATATATAAATGCATAGGTACCTGAAAAAAGAAATAAGACTGTCATCACTCACAGATGCTAAAGAAAATGCAAATAAATTACTAGAATTAATGAGTCTAGCAAGGTCCTTGAAATAAAATCAAGTATCAGCAAAAATTAAAATTTTAAATGGATACTATGCATTTACAAATAGCATTAAAAAACTATCAAGTGTCTAATAAATCTATCCAAGGAAACGCAAGATCTCCATTGAGCAAACTATAAAACTTTATCAAAAGATGGTTCAGAAGACCTAAATAAATGAAGAGCTACTATACCATGTTCATAGATTAGGAAACTTAACATTGTAAAGACTGTAAAGATGAGTTAGCCCCAAATTGACATACAGATTCAATGTAATTCTAACTGAAATCATAAGGTTTTTTTTTTTTGTTTTACTTTGTATGAATTTAACAAGCTGATTCAAAAATTTACGTGAAAAAAAATTCTATGAGAAAAGGCAAAATTTACTTGAAAACAACTCTAACAACTTTTGAAAAATAAACAAAATGGGAAAGAATGGAGGACCCGCTTTACCACAAGTAACAATTTATCATAAAGATACAATATTTAAGACTGTAGAATTAGAGCAGAGATAAACATACAGATCACAGATCTTTGCATTTCTGAAAACATGATTTGTGTGTGACAAAGATGGGACTACAGAAAAATGGAAAAAGAGTGGTCTTTTCAATAAATAATGCTGGGCAATTGAGTGTCTTTATGGAAAAACATAGGATTAGCCTCCTATATCTCACACAGTTGATTACACAAAAATCAACTTCAGGTAGATTACGGACCTATATATAAAAGGAAAAATTATAAAGCTTTCACAAGAGAATATAGAAGAACGCCATTATGATTTTGGGAGTCAATCATGATTTTTTAAACAGGACACAAGACCCAATATCCATAAAGGATAAAGATTCATAAATTCAGCTATATTAAAATGAAGAAATTCTGTTCATTAATGGTTACCATATAGAAAATTACAAGACATGCTACAGAGGATATTAATATTTGTAACACATAGCCCTGACAAAGGACTGCTATCCAAATATTAATCATACAAATTAATAAAAATAATAGATAAAAAATAAAGACTTAAACAAAATTCATAGAAGAGGATACCCTGAAGGATGGCTAGTGCTCAATCTCACTACAAAACACTGAACAGCAAAATAAAATTACAATGAAATAACATTACACATCCATCACATGGACAAAAATAAGTCTAACAAAGCCAAGTATCAGTCAGGATGACAGGTAAAGAAACTTTTATACAATGCTGGTAGGCATGCATTGGTACAACCACTTTGGAAAGTAGTTTCACACTGCCTAGTAAATGTGAAGATATACATACTCTATAGCCTAGCAATTCTACTCTGGGTATATACTCTAGCGAAACACATGTACGTGTGCACCAGAAAACACGTAAAAGAATGTTTAAAAGAGCCAAAAACTAGGATTCACTCAAGTATTCCTGAAGAGTAGAACTATGGTATAATCACATAATGGAATATCATACAATGATGAAAGTAAATAAATTAGAGCTACAACATGGATGACCCTTACAAACAAAATAATGAGCAAAATACAAAATATTTTGTATGACTTCAGTATGAGTTCACTAATGTGAAGTTCAAAACCAGGCAAAACTAAATTGTATTAAAACACACATTAGGGCTGGGCACGGTGGCTCACGCCTGTAATCCTTAGCACTCTGGGAGGCTGAGGTGGGTGGATCGCTCAAGGTCAGGAGTTCGAGACCAGCCTGAGCAAGAGCAAGACCCCGTCTCTACTAAAAAATAGAAAGAAATGATCTGGACAACTAAAAAAATATATATATATATATATATGTACAAAAAATTAGCTGGGCATGGTGGCGCATGCCTGTAGTCCCAGCTACTCAGGAGGCTGAGGCAGAAGGATAGCTTGAGCCCAGGAATTTGAGGTTGCTGTGAGCTAGGCTGAAGCCACGACACTCTAGCCCAGGCAAAAGAACAAGACTCTGTCTCACAAAAAAAAAAAAAAAAAAAAAAAAAAAAACGAACAAAAAAACCCACACATTAGGTGGTAAAGCTGTGAAGAAAAGCAAGGAAGAAATCAACCATAAAAATCAGAATGTTATTTTTGGGTGGGAACAAAAGGGGTTGTGATCAATAAGGACCACATGGCAAAGGGCTTCTGGGGTGTCAGAACTGTTCTATTTCTTGACTTCAGTTACACAGATGTTCACTACATGACTTATGTGCTATTCTGTATATTTATAATTCACATAATTCTCTGCATATGTGTTATATTTCATCATAGTTTTTAAATAGTTGAGAAAACAATGTTCAGATGACCCTACCACATATATGCCAGATAAAGTGTTTCCATGAAGAAAGTTCATGGGGGACTTTACCTACATCTCAAGACAGGACAGTAATTTCATGAAATTGCCTTCTCCCACTCTGTACCCCAGATAATTAACTTACCCAGTGGTGACAGCATATTTGATGTGGTTGCTTGTGGTATAAATAAATACCCCACTCTCATCCCAGGCCCCACTCTTGACACGAATGTTCTCATGAATGTTACACAGAGCATCCAGTTTGCGGTTACAGATCACAATGGCTGTAAGAGGCAAAGGGCATGAGTGCTCTGTTGGATAGGGGGAGTGCAATACACTGGCAGGGAGCGGGGAGGGAAGGACTGGTCTCTACATCAAGGTGGATATAATGAAGACTTACCGTGTTTGGCTAGTAGTGCTACATGTGACATGTCTGCTGACCAGATAACATATTTCACCTTGGAAATCTTCACGGACGCCAGAGTCCTGACATAGAGAGAGGGCAAACATGAATGGATCTGATTCCTTTATCTTAGGCTATGACCTACATCCATCCTTTCACCTCTAAATTAATGTAAACCCCAATTTCTTATTGTAATATCGCACAAAATTCCCCACATAGTAGCTTAGTGATACAAACATTGTGGCTCACATTGTGAACTTCCCCCTTCCTCAAGTCCCTACCCCTCATTCCCTGTATTATTCAGGATTTGTGTATGTCTTCACTACTGGACTGTAAGCTCCTTTAGGTACAGGAACTGTGTTATTAATCTCTGTGTCACCCTCATTCTAAGCCTCAACAGCACTCTTTGTTCAGGTAAGTACTGTAAAAACAGACAAATAAGCTTCTTTGCTGTAACACTAGCGTGTATGTGCAGGATGGAGAGTGATCGTGGAAAGGAAAAACAGTGGCTAGAAAGAGTCTTGGAGTTATAGCATAAGAAGTGGCCAAGCCACAAGACAAACTTACTTGGGGAAAAGAAATCCCCTATTAAAGATGTACACTCTCCCCCACTATATGCCCATCTGCTTAGGGGCACCAGACATATTACCGCTTCTGCTGCACATCAAAGAGTGTGATAGAGTCTGCATCTCGAAGCAGGAGGTTGCCTGTGCCAGCATAGAAGATCTCATCACAGTTGGGCACCTGTACCTTTTTGGTGATCTCATTCTTCAGATTCTTGATAAGAAGCTGAAATGAGTATTAAAGATGGGGTTAAGAGAAGAAACGTGTACATAGATGATGGCAACTACTGATGTCCCTCAGTAATTGTTCCTCACCTTCAATAAACTACGGAGCAGATTTTCCCCTGTCTAAGTCAATCACCATTCCAGGTAGACTACTCCAACCAAGATTGTCTTCAAGAGCCTTAATACCTCTCCTCTCCCCACCCAACTGAAACATCCTGAAAAGTTCAACTAAAGTCTGAGTTCCTCAATCAACCAGAGACAACAGCGCTTCTGGGGCTTACACTTTGTTAAACATTTTCTTGAGAGAGCACTGCTTATCTTGTGCTAGGCCTACTACATTTCAAGTACCCATGGAGGTAGTAGAACAAGGGAGAATTACTCCTCATCCAGTCCATCCACTTCAAATTTGATGCTTTTCTGGTTCCTGTAGTCAAGAGTGACTGTAGCTTGGTTCTTAGGCCCAGAGCCACAGTGATCATCAACCCAATCACATCAATTTTAAAGCCTTTTTCCCTCAAGGGGATTGGCATAGGGCTAGGGACAGAGGTAGAGCCAATACATGAAGATCACAGCTACCCAGGGGAGAAAAGGAAGAAACGATGCTCTTTATTCTGCAACACATAGGCCACTGCAACTACACTCCCCGAATTAGTTTCTGCTTTTAGTCTTAACTCACCGAATGCATCCGATCTAGGACAGCAAACCGATTTCGAGCAACCCAAACGGCTGTCAGGCCTGAGGATCGTTTCCCTTCAGGGGCTGAGAAGAACAAAACCAAAGGCGGGAGCATGTGGTGAGCCGCTGGCAGGTGACAGAGTCAGGTGCCATGGAGCTGCCAGTCTTGCTGCCTGCCATCTTGGCTTTGCCAGTTCAGCTGCTTCCTAACTAATTCAGCCGTAACCTGGGGCTATTGTCAAGTGACTTTTCCCCACCAGTCCCCTCCAAATTCCAACCTCCCCCCTTGCCAAGCCTCTTTTCTCTAGGCCAAGTGGCTGCATTTCAGCTAACACCACATACTGGCAGAAGGGCTGCCCATCTTGGGAGACAGCACACTCCATCAAGCTAACGAGCAGGGCCTCCCTGGCCAAGCTGTGGCAGAACAAGCAGCCTGTCAGTGTCACAGGACCCCCTCCCCAGGATGCAGCTGCTCTGCTGCTTTTAACATGCAAATACAGACCTCCAAGTAGGGCAGGGTGGGGCAAAGCACTGCTAACTAAATCTTGACAGCGAGCTCAGCAATGGGCAGTATTTAGCACCAAGCTGTTGCTCTGTAAATGTCAATTGCAGATTCTTATCACCCTGAAGAGAGTTTACAAAATGTTCCTCAGTTTAGTGGCTGATTAGAATTTTGAAATGGATGCTCCACTCTCTGGGAAACTTGTAGATAGATAAGCAGAAGAATGCATCAAAATACGCTTTTGCCTATTAGAGCAGCAGAAAAGTGGACAGAACATGCTGGACAACCTTGCCTTGTACCTCTCTGGCACCTGGAGTGGGCAGGCAATTTACAAAACTAATTATTATCACAACCAATATTCCCGTTTTTCCAGGGTCCAGGGAACCATACTATTTAAGGTTTTGATTTTTCTCTTCCTCTTCTCTGTTGCCCATCATTGGGCTGTACTTTTATTACCTTCCCCTAGAAATGGAGTAGAGAAAATAAAAGTGGTAATAAAAAAAAACCAAAGATATTTTACACTCTATTACTTGTAAACAAATATGGGGAGAAAAGCAAAGGGATGAGTTGAGAGGGACTAAATTACATGATTTCGTCACAAATGGCTTAACTGACTAATTTATAAAGGGGAATTTGATTTATGGATACTAAATACACACAGGTTTTCTTTCTCTCTTCATGATCACATTTAAAAGAGAGTAAGTCAATTACCAACAATGGTTATTACCTAACTGAACGCTGGTTATTACCCAGTGGTCTCTGCAAAAGGAACAGAGCTAGTAAAATGGTTCTCAGGAATTTGTTGATGGGGTCTAAAATATCATGAAAATACGCTAATAAGAGTGGGGATCTGAAGAATAAACCTCTGACCTGGCAATATCCACAAAGCCACTGGAGGAAATGCACTGATAGGAGCAAAAGCAATAGTCAAACCCATTCTAAGCATGTTTTGTCAGCAAGTTCTAATCACAAGAATATCAGTAAGGGATGGTGGTGATGGAAGAGTTACACAGGGGTCTCAGCTGGATCCTAGGATCCCAGGTGGGGTGTGGGGCTGTTAGCAGCCTCATCTTTTTGACATGCAAAAGGAAGCAAATCGGATCTGGACGTGGATGGGAGAGTATAAATCCCTAGTCCCAGGATGAGACACTGTAAGATTGGAACCACATTTTTAAATAAATGAAACTACCAGGGTGAAAGTCATCTCAGTTGACAATAAACTACGATAACATGCTGTGCTGAAAGAGAAAATGGAGAGTTTCTAATAACCAAATTATAAAATATATATATCTAGCTGGGGTAATAAAATGGAGGAGGAACATGAATATTTCACACCATGGTTGCCTCTGATGCAATTGTTAGCAGCACCTGCCAACAGACATGAGTGATGTGGCAATGGCCTGGGGATGGAATGTATAAAAACTTGAAGAGAAGTGATGCTGTGGGTGAGGAGAGCTGGAGGCAGAGTGGGGTAGACAAAGAGAATCCTTACCATCAGGGTTCTGGGAGTCAGCATCCTTGGGAATGGTGTACAGGTCATAGGTACTATTTTCTAAATTGCTGGCTCTCTGTAGAGGAAAAAGGGGAAATTATAATGCTAGTGAGAGGCATCCAAGATACCAGTTTACCAGTTTATTCGGACAGAGAAAACAGTTCCATTGCACAGACAATAATCTGAAACCATACTTTTCTTACCCTTCATTTAGTGGGCATTTGAATCCTTCCACATCTAAGAATTATAGGGCTCTTTGCCAAAGGACTCAGCATTGATGCCACTTTATTTTCCTTAACCTCCAAAGATGCAGATATTATTTGAATGAAAGCAAGAATTGTTCTCTTCTCCACAAATTAACATACTAAGACCCTGATATTCTAGTGCCCCACCTGAGTACTCATCAACTTAAAACTCTGCTTGAAAAAAAGACATCAAAGAAAATTGCCAGGAGAATATGGGACTGCTAAATATTAAAGAAAGACTGAGATTAAACATTAAAAGTTATATGCAGAAAGAGAAGTTTTCATTCTTTTTAAGTTGGCCACCAGGGCACTAAAATTAGGATGTTATTTCTTTTCTTTTGCAAATTGCATGGCAAGACATGGGGAGGGCTCCTTGATGACTCCGAAGGCAACTCCACTGAAAAGAGCTCCCTCTCAAAATCACAGTTCTTCTATTTTCACCCAAAGAAAGGGATAAAGATAACACAAGATATAGTCATAAACATTCTCTCAAATCACTTTTAGTGATCTGGGTCATTCATCCTGATACTTCATTAAATTTAGACATTGTTAGCTTCACGAGAGATACAAGTTTACAAATGCTCAATGTTTATGACAACTAAAGTCTACCTACCTGGTTTGAGCTTCTGAGCTTGCACTGTGTTAGCCCTAGAAAAATGACCATTAAATAGCTTCCATTATAAGGAGCCATTAAATATTCCCTATGGACAAGAGAGACCTAAGGAAAATGGGGAAACCTAGGACGACTCCATAGGTTACTTACCGTACAGAGTAGGACTGCATTTTCTGCTGGATTGTACGACATATTGAATACTGGAAACTTGGAACCACTAGAGAGATATATAGAAAAAGCAAAAAACAAGGAAGAGGCATAAGAATGGAAGGAAGAAAAGGAATTACCCCTATACTTCTTACTTAGCCAATATTTACACACATATACTTATCGCTTTTATAATCAGGAATAAAAATAAATATTGCTTTTATTCTCTTCCTTCCTTTAAGGCTTGGGAATGTACCTATCTCAGCTTTGAACAAACAGTTTAAAAAAGTAAACTGTACAAGAAATCAAATTATTCAACAGAAGGTAGGGTTACTGTAGTGAGCGGGACTTGTTCTGCTTGGATTCGAATTCCTACACATAATTGCAGTGGACACTACAGAGTAACATGATGCGATCTGTCTCTGGCTGGTTTCTCCTGTCCCTTGGAGTGTTCACATAAACCCATCTTTTTATTGTAGTGATGCTAGAGGGTGGTTATCAAACCCTCATGCCAAAGTTTGCCACCATTAATGTTTCAGCATGCTGATGCAGCTGGCTTTCCAAAAGGACGGTTCCTTTGGCCAGACATCCAGAGGTTATCATTCCAGAGACCCATATTCTAGTTTAGAATTGTGTGCATTTTACCAGAATAATGCCAAATAAAAGCAAAAAGGCCTATTGCCCATTGGGGCTACTCTCTACCAAGAAACTTTCTCTGGTTTGCAAGAGAGCTGGCAAACTATGATAGTATGATTTCCTACCAACAGGGTCACTAGCATTCTCAACAGGGGAACTCCTTGCCTACCTTGCTCCTAGGGTTTAAACTGAACAGGCTCATCTAATGGGGATTCCATCTATAACAGGAGATGAGATCCAAAATGTTTAAAAGAAGAGTCTTGTTTGTGGGTATTGTATCACAGTGACAGATAAGACGGTTTAGAGGGAAGAAACAAGATTGATTTACCTCCGCAACTGCATCACAGCTACGTCTTTGGAGCTGTTGAAATCTAGCTGACGTAAGAATCGGTCCTTGACATAATGTAGCATATTGCCATGTACAGCATAGGCTGGCCGTTCCCGTTCCAGCTTAAACACAATCATGCCACCATCATGGCCTGGGGGACAGGGAGAAGAGAGGAAAGAATTAGCTATAGGCAAGAAAGAAAGCTAGAAATAGGAGATACACAAGGATGAGGTAAGTTATATATATATGCTAAACACAAAGCAACACACCTAAATGCATCCCTTATTTGCCTAAATTCTCAATTCTTAGAATCTTTATTCAGGTAATTCTCTGTGAATCCTTTCCTAATACTGTTCACACGGCCACATTTAGACATGGCCTTCTCTGTGTTCCCCTAAAGCTCTGCACAAACCTCTCTTATAGTACTTATCACCTTGCACTGTAATCGTTTATTACCCCTACTATACTAGGGAAAGTAGAGTTCCCTGAAGGCAGAAACTACGATAATTTCCATCCTTCCCTAGTCCTTAGCATATAAAAAGAGCATAGGCTGGGCGTGGTGGCTCATGCCTGTAATCCCAGCACTCAGGGAGGCCAAAGCAGGAGGATCACTTGAGGCCAGGAGTTCAAGACCCGCCCCGACAACATAGCAAGACTCCATCTCTACCTCTACAAAATTTAAAAATTAGCCAGGCATGGTGGCTTTTGTCTGTACTCCTAGCTACTCAGAAGACTGAGGCGGAAGGATCACTTGAGCCCAGGAGTTCAAAGTTACAGTGAGCTATGATCACACCACTACACTTCAGCCTGGATGACAGAGGGAGACCCTGTCTCTTTAAAAAATCATAAAAAGTATTTGCTGAAAAAATGAATTTTAGTTTAAAAAGGCTTTATTGTTCTGTTTTTAAAAAATGTTTTGTTCTTTCCCTACTAGCATCATCTACCCCTTTGAGCAGTGGTCCCCAACCTTTTTGGCACCAAGGGCCAGTTTCACGAAAGACAATTTTTCCATGGACTAGGGATTGGTGGGGTGGGGTATCGTAGGGGGCGGGGGCGTGTGGTGCCGAGCTCAGGCGGTGATGTGCAGCGTTTCCTAACAGGCCACAGACTGGTAATGGGCCACAGCCCGGAGGTTGGGGACCACAGCCATAGAGAACCCTTCTACTCTTACCCTCCTACTATCTGCTCTCTACACATAAACCAGATCATGTCATTTCCCTACCCAAAACCTTCCAACGGCTTTCCATTCATTCAGAAGGAAATCTTAAGTTCTAACCATGGCCTATAATACAATGCACAATCTGGCCTGGTCTCACCTCCTATTACTTAGTCCCTTACTGTGCTCCAACTGGCCTCTTCGATGTTCCTCTAACATGCTACTAAGCACCTCTAACATCATATCTTTGCATTTGCTGTTCCCAGTCTCTTTCCCTTTCATTTTTCTAAACCCCAATATAAAATAAATCCCGCACTCTCATCTCCCTTTATCCCCCTTACTTTTGTTTTTCTTCAAAGTATTTTTCACCATGCATCATTTTATATACATATTGTTTTGTGGTCTATCTCCCCTCATTACAAATACAAGCTCCATAAAGGCAGGGACTTTGTTTTATGCACTGCTACAACACCAGCACTCAGAATAGGGCATGAAACTCAATATGTATCTGCTAAATGAATGTATAAAACTTAACTTCCAGCTTCTCAATTTGAGAACCACAAGTATCCAGTATTAGCCTCCTATGAGAGCTCTTAGTAGCCAAAGAGTATGGGCTATAACTGTTAAATGGATCTTGGTAGAGAAAGAACACACTCCAAGAAGGCAAGGGGAAAAAAAGCTTCAACTAAGTAGCTCTGAGAATTCTGCTTCTCCTTGTCATCTGACTATGCATTTACTGGAGACAAAGCTAATAAAGAATCACTTTCAATTCTTAGAAACTTTGAAGTGAAGCAATTAAGAAAGAGAGGAAATGGCCTTTACCTGCGGCAAAGAGGTTAAGGTTAGGGTGAGCAGCTAGGACCCAGAAACGATCATGGTCCCTACGGAAGGTCTGAACCCCAGTCCTAGGAAAGCAAAAGGTACACAAAGAAAAATATTAACTTCCCAGACATCTTTAGCCCATCATATATAAGAATATTGAGCAAGCTAATTAAAAATGTAAATCGAGGACAGTAAACTGCGTATCCTAATTAAAGGTAGTCATGATAAATTCTACCCAGGAACAGAAAGAAGAGAATTCAGACTGACCATATTATTTTGATATTTTAATTTCCCCCACTCATCATAATTTTCTATTGTATTGCTTTCATTTCTTATTTCTTCTCTACCTACAGAAGTAGTGGAAAGGGGAGAAAGAAGAACATGTTTAAATTTAGAGGAGAAAAAGAATACACATGAGGAGTTCTATTTAATGGAAAATTTGTGAATATCAGCCAATCTCTAGGTCTCTTCAGGTTTTCACTACATATGACTTGATTTTTCTAGATGCCGAGATGAAAAGAAATATTCCAATCTAATTTTGAAAGAGAGAGAAAGGGGCATTCCCCAGGGTTTGGTCACACAACATCAATGACTCCCTTACCGCTTAGACATATCCCAGACTCGGATACTCTTGTCCTCAGAATTGCTAAGGATCAACTCTTGGCGAGGGTGGAAGACAGCACAGGATACATTGTTGTAATGGCCCCGGCAGGTATCAACCTCCCATGCCTTTGATTCTAGAGGACAAAAAGAATTAGGTCAGCACAATTCCCTACCACTGTAATTTCGGGATTTGGAGATATGACATCTTCTTAATCAAGTGCTGGGTACTACTACAAACTGTTAAATTAGGAACTTCTTTCTCATGGGGCAATTTTCTTCATGTAAGTCTCTTAGACTTTACATATTTCTTTGTTCTTTCATTCCGATCCACCTATCAATTATAACACCTCTTCTCCATCATTGCTTAACCCTTTACTCTGTTTTATTTGTCCTGATAGTAACTGTCACTAGCTGCCATTTTAGACCAAATGCAAGCTCCATAAGACAGGGACTGTATCGGTTTTATTCACCACTGTATCTCCAACATTGTTGTCAATATCTAGTAAAATGTAGGTACTCAATAAATATTTGTCAATGAATGGATGAATTTTTACTCTTAGCTGTGTTCATACTCCTCCAAATCAGGACACCACCACAGGAAAAAAAAGGGAAAGGGGCAATTTCTGTGTTCCCAAGATTAGTATAAGATAATCACCTAAGACAGGAAAATAGATCAAAGTCCAGAAGACCTGGCTACTTTACTTTGCTGACCAGCAGTCAATTTCTTAGACATGGTGATGCTGCCACTGATTCACTCACCATTCATACGCCAGATCTTCACTTGACGGTCATCTGCCCCAGATACGATAAGGGGCATAGTGGGATGGAAGGCAGCCCAGTTTACTCCACGATCATGACCCTGTAGAAAAAAATAAGTGGTTCTTCTAAAACAGTTTTATAACTGTTACTCAAAGCAAATCAATGAACCATGCTGGTGGTTATACAAGATGTCTCTCATTTATTCTTCATGTGAAAAGACTCAAGAGACTATGCTGCTCTAAGATTTTGAACATAATTGGTATGTCAATCTATCCAACATTATGCTAAATTCTCACAGGAATTTCCAAATATGTATTTCTAACCCCACACTTAGTTTCGTCTGCATTTAGGATATACTGCCTTATTTTTTACTTATCTACTTATATCTTATTTTGCCAACCAATTATTAACATTTCAAGTATAAGACAAATTTTATAACTTAATGCAAAAATCCTCAAAGTGTGACCTAGAAACCCTGGGAGGATCCCCAAGATCCTTTTAGGAAATCTGCAAGGTCAAAACTATTTTTTGTATAATACTAAGACTTTGTCTTTTTCATTCTTATTCTCTCATGAGTGTACAGTGGAGTCTTCCAGAGACATGATGTGTGATTATGTCACCGCTCTCATAGCTAATAGGTGTTGATATATTTTATATTTTTAACAGTTCTAAGTTTTAACTTCCAATATGGTAAAAACTGACAGATATAACCCGCATAAACAAAAACTCTTTGGGGTCCTCAATAAATTTTAACAGTATAAAGAGATCCTCATGCAGTAGGCACATTGAAAAACAAAAAAGGAGAGCCTCAGACCAAAAACTTTAAGAACTGCTGATTTTAAGATATCCCATATACCCTATTGACACAGTTGTATGCTATACTGTGGCAGAATCATAGATAAGGCAGTTCTGAATTAGCAGTATTTTTGAGAAGTATCATCTGTGAATCCCAGTTCTTCCATTTATCAGATACATGTGGACTTTGGTAAACTGCTTAATTTCTCTAAATCTGAATTTTCTCATCTGTAAAATGAGGTTAATAATACCTACTTCAGTAGATAGCTGTGAAGATTATGTTAGATAATATTCTTAAAGAAAAATTAGTTTCTTTCCCTTATGCTTTTCTATTTTCTTACCATGCACAAAAGTTACTGACACATGGCTGATTTTCAATAACTCTGATTAAATTTCGTTCTGCTCTACCCCTTACAGAAGGCTTGAGAATGGGCTCTGCCTTGAGATGGTGATGGAGCCTATGCCCAGATTTCTCTCTTTCCCCGCACTGGGTTTATAAGGTAACATGACTCTCCCTCAGGTGGCCTGTAGGCTTCATTTCTCTGTTGGGTGGTTCACTCACAATTCTATTTCCAGGGCCTCAAACAGTGCCTGGCAATTAATAAGCACTCCATAAATATCTGTTGAAGGAATAAATGAATGGCATGTTGTGACTTTCCCTAGATGACAGCCCATATCCAGCCACTGGCTGTAGAGATAAGTACCTCTAGTACATGCTTCACCACTGCATCCGTAGTTCCAAACAGATCAACCCCAGTTATTCCTCTCACATCCGACTCCACCGCACCAGGGGACAAGTTTTTTTTCCTTAGACCTTTGAAGGGGTAAGGAGTGAGATGAAAGATGTAAACAAAATGTTATCAAAAAGAGGACAGTAGCAGAAATACTGAAAGATACAGTGAAGAAGAAGAGAAAAAGAAATTGAGAGCTCCTACCTATTTCCAAAAATATTCAAAATATTGAAGTACATTCACTGTCTTCTTTTCTACTCCCTCAAGACTTAAATAGACTAACTACTAGAATTTCTTTCTACAGATCAACCCAAATTTCTGACACAGCTAACCTCTTTTTCAACAAATCTCACCTCAAAAGCTGTCTAATTCACTTATTGCCCACTTTCCATTCTTCAGTGTTCTTAAATATGGCCTCAACTGGTAAACATTCAATTTCCATTTTCAACTTCATGAATTCTAATAGCAACTTTTTTCCCATCATCTCAAAAAATTGGAAAGAAAAGCCACTTGGGGAGGCCATAGCTCAGTGTTTCTCAAACTGGAAGCTTTTAGGCAACTCACGGGGAAGTTGCAAATGGGTTATGGAAACTAGACCTATTAAGTACAAAACAGCTATTTTGTGGAAGATACTATAAAACCATGAACCATGCAAAAAGTGTACTTATACTTTCTACTTGACTCTTAAATAGGGAACAAGGTAATTAAAACTGTCATGTCCTTTTAAGTTCTTGCTTAAAAGGTTGTTTACAGATCTGAACACAGATATTTTGCCATTAAAACCTTTGGAGGCTAGTCTCACTCGGAGGAATTAGCCCATAATTTAAAAACAATAAGGCCGGGCGTGGTGGCTCATGCCTGTAATCCTAGCACTCTGGGAGGCCGAGGTGGGCGGATTGTTTGAGCTCAGGAGTTCGAGACCAGCCTGAGCAAGAGCGAGACCCCGTCTCTACTAAAAATAGAAGGAAATTAATCAGACAACTAAAAATATATAGAAAAAAAATTAGCCAGGCATGGTGGCGCACGCCTATAGTCCCAGCTACTCGGGAGGCTGAGGCAGGAGGATCGCTTGAGCCCAGGAGTTTGAGGTTGCTGTGAGCTGGCCTGACGCCACGGCACTCTAGCCTAGGCAACAGAGTGAGACTCTGTCTCAAAAAAAAAAAAACAATAAGAAAAAGATACCAGGATAATAAGAGTCTTATTTGTAGAGGACCCACATTTGTGCCTCAACTACATTCATCTTTAAAAGCTATTTGTGCTACAGTCAGAACCAAAATTATGATAACAATACTCTACTACCTTACATTTGAAAAGTATTTTGTGGCTGTCAAAGCACTCTAATATATATTATGTGATTTGATTCTCATAACAAACCTTTGAGATAAGCAAGCAGGTATAATTATACCAACTTATAGATGAGAAAACAGAACTGGGACTAAAATTCTATCTTTAGAAATATTTTTTGGGGAAAGCATAAGATGAAATTACCTAGCATGTGTAAAATAAAAAACAAAAGACGGAAGGAAAATGTGCAATAGAAGGAAAATAAAACCTAAGTAATTTCGAGCCTAAATTTTGCCATCTGTAGGAAAATATGAAAACTCAAGTTTAATGACTATATTTATATTCATTGTTTTAAAATTATATCTCTTTTGTTATAGTGGTACCTACATATTGGCATTAGAGAAACAAGAGCTTAAAAGGCCATGACAGTTTTAAATATCTTGTCCTCTGCCCAAGATGAGCATTTAACCAATAAGTAGAGAGAAATAAAGCTGATGCTTTACAAAAAAATGTACTCTCATGAAACAAAGCTTCATAAATACAGTATCGCTGGCATACCTCTTTTCACTTATTTCACTTGTCCCTTTAACAGGATCTGTCACCTTTTTCTAATGAGTTGGTATATGAAATCGATTCAAAGGAAGATACAAAGACAGACAGCTGTGAGGAACTTCACCTCCAACAAGCTTCAACAAACACATTAAAAAGAAAGCTGTACAACAGAATGGAAGCCTTTGTTGCATGTAATGATCCAGGAAAAGGGGTAGGGCAAAAACAGACAGATGAATAGTGACAGGCAGTGAAAAGATAACTTGGAGAAAAAATACTTGAGCCTTCAACAAGCCACTCACTAGGACTAAACGACAGATGGAAAATTTCTACAGATGCTACCCAAATCCAGAGGAAGAGAGGACACTCTCAGAATGGACCAGTTTGATGCATGCCTCCCAGTGGGGACCAGGGGAAACAGTAAAGAGAGATGGATGACGAGAGGATTTGGCAGCATATTAATACTTTTTTAGTAGCCATTTCAAAGACTGAGTCTGAATTACATGGGCTTGACATGCAAAGGTATAAGCACGTTAAAATAATTTAACTGTCAATTTACTTGAAAGCTCAAGCTAAGAAAATAACCTATCTTTTTTATCTCGGTTGTAAATATATTCCCTTTTAAACAAATAGTTTTTGCCAGGCTAAAACAAAAGATTCATCAGGGCCAGCACAGTGTAATCATGCCTGTAATTCTAGCACTCTGGGAGGCCAAGGCAGGAGAATTATTTGAGGTCAGGAGTTCGAGACTTGTCTCTACTGAAATTAGAAAATATTAGCCAGGCATGGTGGCACACATCTATAGTCCCAACTACTTGGGAGGCTGAGGCAGGAGGATGGCTTGATCCCCGGAGTTTGAGGTTGCAGTGAGCTATGATGATGCCACTGCACTCTAGCCAGGGAGACAGAGCAAAATGATGTCTCAAAAAAAAAAAAGAAAGATTCATCTGGTTAAGCTAAGCCCTATGGGGCTCAATCTTCATGTAAGAAGTATTAAGAGACCTTTAAATATTTCTACATTCTCTTATTGCTTATCTAGCTCAAAAAGAGACAGTCAAAAAATTAGAATTTTCAGTAGTCCTCTAAATTTGGGGATATTCACTCTTACTCAGAACTAATTTTTCTCTCTTGGAAATATTAGTATTAGCTCTAGTCCTAACAGATCTAAAAGCTAATTCCTCTTCCTATGTTCGGTCTTATTTAAACCCAAGCAAAACAGGTCTCTGCTTAAAAGAGTACGCTGGTTTCTAGACCAAAAAAAAAGATAAGCACAAAAGTCTAACCCCAAAGCTGCTGCTGCTTAGTAAAATACAAAAGCATCTCCTTCCACTCTGGTTAAGGGGTAACTGAAAGTCAAGATATGTGTGGGTAAAGAAAAACATTTAGAAATGGTAAAGAGAGCATTAACATTAATACAGCAAGTTAGCACAAAATTCTATCACATATACTAAGCATAACAATTGCAATGTTATTATATATAATCCATGCACTTCACACATTCAAAAGCAAGTATAAACCCCATGGGGTCACACTTCCTCCCTCTCTTCTCTGATCTAGGTCCCTTAATTTTGATGCAGAAATGTCCTCACCCTACAAAAGGTGAAGAAAAGTATTTCTTGCTTTGGGCATTTCATGATCACCAATGAGAATCCAGCCACTAGATTACCCCAAATTGCTTTAGCTTGACCAAAGGGAACATGCTGTGCCAGCATCAGACAGCACAAACCACACTCTTAGAGTGAACCAGTATAAGGGTCCTTTTCAACTCCATATTTAAGAAAGAATTAATGCCCTAATGCCCAAATGCTTTAGTTTAGGTATGTAACAGATTAACTTCTCTACAATCTAGAATGGCATAGCTGTATACCATTCTTGGAAGAACTGAGTAAACAGTCATGCAAAGTACTTTCTGTAGCACTTAATTCTCTCACAGAATCCAGGCTGGGAAAGGATATTCTAAGTAACTGCCCCTGATCAGGTGGAACAACATGAATTGGGATCCAACTCCATCAGGCTCCTATATCCTGAGATAGAGAGGGTGCTTTGAATGTGTGAACAGTGAGAAACCATGGCAAGCCATAGCTAGGTTACTGGGAGAGTGGATGCTAAGCTCCCTGGTACTGGCAGGGAGGAGAGGGCACAGGCTCACAGTGCCTGGGCCTACCTCCTCCTGTTGGCATGGCTGGTCATATCTGGGTGTACTTCAAAAAAACGTAGTCAGTCTGATGAAAAACTGCAATGGCAAAGCCCTAGAGAAACCATTGCCCTTTATCCAATACAATCTTGAATATATCACTCCCTTTAATTCTAAACGTTTGAAAACTGCAAAGACAGCATGATCTAGACTCGAGGCTCTACTCTACAACTGTCCCCATCTTTCCTTGGATTGTTTCTATGCTACATTAATGTAAACAACTGCTACTGCAACATTCCGAATGCTATATCCAGGAATCCCAATTTCCAACCGGATGATCATTATTGGTCCGTAAGAACAAGTACCATATTGCCCTAGCCTACCATGCAACAGGCGAGTTGGGAAAAGTTAGCACCTCAGTTGCACAATGCAGAAGGGTGACTCCTTTATTATCACAAAGAACTAGGCATGGACCTATGAGGGAGCCTTTCTTTTATAGAATGAAACACTGTTTTGTAGTCTAGCTGATGGCATTTCAGGGAACTCAAATCTCTAAGAATTTCTAACACAACAAATAGAAAGAGATAATTACCAAGTTATAAGTAAATGTAGCTAGGCAGAGAATCAGCATTTTGTGTCTCATTTCCCTAGTCCAACACAAAGAGTTTCCATCCGTCTCACAGGTACGGTCCCTTTCCATGCATTTAAATTCTCTAGTTAGCAATTTCTTACTGTTCTTTATACAGCACTAAACATTTAAACCTTTATCTCAAAATCATGATATGTAAACTGTGACAGGAAGAATTACCTCAACTATCAGAAATCTACAAATTATTTAGTTTCTGGTCCTAGAAGTCTGCCTAATAAAAATCTGACCATTAAAAGGTATTCTGGACATAAAAATCACCAACTCCCCTATCCCAACTGTGCTCCTGACACTAGAAGAAATCTAACAGAGGGTTTTTTTCCTATTTCTAAATAAAGCGACAGGATCCAAGAGTCCAGTTTCCCTGCATTAATCTAATTCTCAAAATTTGTTTGTCCAAAATGTATTTTTGTTATTTTAGCAGAAAGCTTGATTCTTAATCAAATATTCCAACAGTATATAGATTTTAACTAAAAACTGATCTAACTTAAAATTAACATTTCTTCAAATCAAATGATTTTCTAGTGTAACCTCCTTTAGAGAATACCTTGAATATGAAGAATCACCAAAGCAGATTCATTAGCCTCAGAAACAAAGATATTATTATACGGGAATGGACTATTCTAAATTTTCCTATTGTAAGTCAACTATCCTCACTATTTTAAGCAATTGCAGTTTTGCAACAGACATGACTAGGTTGTCCCCTGAACTTGGGCAGCTCACCAGAAATATCCCAAACGCGCACAGTCTGGTCCAGGCTGGCTGATACAACTAAGTCTTCTGAGGGGTGAAACTGAGCACACATTACATAATGGTTGTGCCCTGTTAACACACTGCAAGAAAAAAAAAAGACAACACCAAATTAGAGGCAAGAATCAACAGACTCCTAAACGAAATACCTTTTTCCATATTTAACACATGCTTATCCAATTATACTTTGCAAAAGTAGGTCATCCTAACAATTCTGAATAACAATAAACAAGGTCAGCCATTTTATTAGGATATTAAGTATGAGATGTCCAATTTCATATCAAAAGTGTAGTTTATTATATCTCAAACAAGAAGCAGTACAATTAATCAAAGTATGCACCTAAACTATACACACAGTTTTGCCATCTTAATGGTAGCTTGCTTATGCCAACAGCAAAGAAGCCTGGCGAGCAAGTCGTGATGAAATCATGAAAGGTGTTTTCCACAGCTTGTTGAGCATTGAACATTTTTCCTTGCAAGAAGTGGTCCAAAGCTTGGAAGAAGTGGTATTCAGTGGGTGCAAGTTCTGGTGAATAAGGTGGATGACAAGAGAGTTTCCAAGTCCAGCTTCTGTAGTTTGGGCAGCATTGTTTGTGTCATATGTGGTCAAGAGTTGTCTTGCAAGAGGATTGACCTGTCTCTATTGACCAATCTCGGCTGCTTAATCACAAGCATCCTCATCATTTCATCCAACTGGTTGCAGTAGACATTTACTGTAATCGATTCACCAGGTTTCATGAAGCTGTAGCGGATAATACCAGCACTGGACCACCAGACACCATTAGCTTTTTTTGATGAATATTGAGATTTGGTTTTATTTATTTTTTTTGAAACAGAGTCTTGTTCTGTCACCCCAGCTAGAGTGCAGTGCCGTCATCATAGCTCACTGCAACCTCAAACTCCTGGGCTCAAGTGATCCTCCTGCCTCAGCCTCCCTGAGTAGTTGGGACTACAGGCACATGCCATGACGCCCAGCTAATTTTTCTATTTTTAGTACAGAGTCTGACTCTGCTCAGGCTGGTCTCAAACCCCTGAGGTGAAGCCATCCTTCCATCTTGGCCTTCCAGAGTGCTAGGATTACAGGTGTGAGCCATTGTGCCCGGCCCAAATAGTCGGTTTTGGACTGTTTTGGCACTTCATCTTTATCCAACCATTGTGCCAAATGCTTGCAAATGTCAAAAAGAATCCCTCTTTCATCATATGTAACAACATGGCATAGAAATGGTTTGCCTTTATGTCGTGACAGCAAACAAAGGCAAGGTTCAAGACAATTTCTCTGCTGATGCTTGTTTAATTCATGCAGAACCCATCTATCCAGCTTCTTCACCTTGCTGATTTGTTTCAAGTGGTCCAATATTGTTGGAATAGTAATGTCAAACCTTGCTGCTAATTCACACGTAGGTTGAGATAGATTCGTTCCTACTACAGCTTTCAGCTCATCATTATCCACCTTGGTCTCAGGTAGCCTACATGGCTCATTTTCGAGATTGAAATCACCAGAACTTCTGAAACCACTGATGTACTGTGTTCACAGCCACCCCCTTCCCAAACACATCACTGATATTTTGAGCTGTGTTGCATTGGTTCCACGATGGAACTCATATTTGAAAATAACACAAATTTTTGACTTATCTACAGTTTCACAAAAGTTACTCTAAAAAAAAACATGAAAGATAATCAAAGATCACAATCATAAGTGTGTGTGAAAACAACTGAGATGTATCTTCACAACAAAAATAAAATAAGAAGTGTCAAAGTGAAATGTCAGAGATATCAACTGTTAAGCTCAGTACTTAAGGGAATCGGACATTTCATACTTAATAACCTAATACCAATAGCTCTCTTCTTGTCTCTAATGCTTTAGTATTTAAATATTACTAATTTCAGGAGAACTGAGATTACATAGCTCTCCTCTCAGATTAAAGAAATATTAAAATATCAAAATAAATGGAATCTTGGTAATTCACACTGGAAATTATCTGTTAGATTTTAGTAGGGAATTCCTCTTAAAGGACATCATTTTAAATTGTCCTTGCCTCTTCATGGAAAGTTCTATATAGAACTCTAGCCCCAAATACAAAGTAGGACAGAAGTCTAGACCTTGACTCAGGTTTTATGGAAAAAGGACTAAAAAACAGCTAAAAGTTCTTATTCTAAAAGGCTAGCTATATGACCTCTTTTCCCCAGTAAGAAATTATCAGAAGATCCAGATTCATACATTACTAATGACACCACCTCTATATTTATTATTTTGTACTTAGAGGCTTTTTACAAATATAACCAGTAATCAGCCAGCATACATGGCTCATATGGAAAGGGAGATGATTGTTCTGAAGAGAAACTGATTATGAAAAACTAAGAATTAAGATTCTTTTTAGCCCTCTGCCTCCTGCTTTACCAGACACAGGTTCTAGATTGCCAGTTCCACACTCGGATGGTCTGATCGTCTGAAGCACTCAGAATCCAAGGATACTCCTGAAAGATATTCCAGACAAAGGCTTTAAACATTAAACAAACTTGTTTTGTCAGGTTCCTGTAATCATTTTTCTCTTTTATAGGAGGATTCCATCGCCTAACGCTTCAGCTAGACTATTAATAACACTGGGGCTGCTACTTCTGACATCAGGCTAGCTATCTCCTCTTCCCCATGTCTCCAGCAGCTTTTCCCAACTCTGGCACTTTCACCTGTAAGATTTAAGAATGGAAGCCAGACAGATGCATCATAGATTCTCAGGGGCAGACAGCATAATATGTATTTATTAATACATTTACTTCTAAATATTATGTATGTGTTTATATTTATATATAGTTAATCTTATAAATGAAGACCCTGGGAAAGGCTCTCACTCTTTAACTCTAGGATGGGAATACTATTTTATGGTGTGATTTCTTCCAGTCAGATCATCCAGTTTCAAAAACTTCCCAAGTCTCAGTAACCAAAGCAGAAAGTAACAGGTAAAGATGATTTAGGCTATTTGGAGTCCATAAGATTGTTCAGAAAAGGAAGCATTCCTTATTCACAGATGTATCTCCAGTGTTTAGCACAGAGCTTAGCAAGTATAAGGCACAAATATATTTATTGAGCTGAAAAAATAAAAGAAAACAAGGCTTTTCATAACTTTCTAAGTAGATGGCAACTTGTTCTAGGCAAGGGTCTTTAGCAAGTCCTTTATGGCAATGACAAATAGTTTCTACCTAATAGGTTATCTTATTGAGTAGTTATCATTCGCAAATGTTTCAGTTGTAGTTTTCTCATTCTCTCCTATCCTAAAATTTTTAAATTTTAAGAAATGAAGTATACTAAATCAGTAAATTCTTATTTATTTCACTATATTCTTTCTAATGTAATTCAAGAGACTTAGTTTATTGAGAGCCAAAGAATAGTACAAGTTAATTCTAAAAGCATTGAATTATAGGGAAATCCTGCCAGGTTGGGACTGGATTAAGAAGTTGGGAGTCTTTAATATATAACTCAGTATCTAAATCGACTATGATACCTGATAGATCAAAGAAGACTGGCTAAGGAAACAACCTCCACTAGACCCCAAAATCCTAGGACAGAGGGACATGATTGTTAATACCTCAAAACATTTCTTAGCTTATCAAAATGGCACCTTAGCTTGACCTTCTTCCAAATACATCTACTACTTACTGATAATACCCCACATGGATTTTGCCTGCCAACTTTTGTTTTCTATTTCAGCAAACCTGAATTCAAATCCCTACTTTCCCCTACAGAGAAACAAGGACTTCCTCATAGAGCCCACTGAATCCAATTAAATTCAATTCAGTGTAACCCCAAGTGCTTCCTCTTGTAGAAAGAAACAAAGCAGAAAGGTCAATACCACACAGATCCTAGAAGAGCTACTCCCAAAACACAATTTGTTATCAAAACATGGATTCTTGAGAGTTAAGTAGATTACTACGGAGAAAATGAAGAATGCTCCAAAACCAGAGCCACAATGACTACTTACATGATGAAAAAATGTGGTGCGAATATAATCTAAGTGCCCAAGCAATGTGAAGAGACAGCGCCGGAGCTTGTAATTCCAAACCTGCAAAGACAGAAATCCAACTAAGAAACAGAACAGAGGGGTCTTGGGCCTCTGAAAGGCTCAGATTTCTCAATGAACAAGTTTGGATTTATATTTTGGTATTTCTAAATAGGTAGGAACCTTGGTAGAAGTCTGGTTAAAGATTAATGGGAAAAAGAACAAGAATAAAAATATTGGTCAGCTAAACAACACGGGGTCAGAGGAGTGCAGACAAGGTTAGGGAAAAGCTAAAGATAAAATTACGGAAAAGCTTTTCTTTCTTTGGGATGACACCATCTCTACTTAGTAAAAGGAGACAAGATACTTATCCAGGGCCTAACTTGAAACTCTTTTTTCTGCTGTATAATTATGTTCTCGGCTTGAATACAGACCCCTAAGTGTTTTATCTGTCACCTTAAAAAAGCAGGACAGGCTGGGCACAGTGGCTCACACCTGTAATCCTAGCACTCTGGGAGGCCGAGGCAGGAGGATTGCTTGAGGTCAGGATTTCGATACCAGCCTGAGCAAGAGCGAGACCCCGTCTCTACTAAAAATAGAAAAAATTAGCTGGGCATTGTGGCATGCACCTATAGTCCCAGCTACTCAGGAGGCTAAGGCAGGAGGATTACTTGAGCCCAGGAGTTTGAGGCTGCAGTGAGCTATGATGATACCACTGTACTCTACCCAGGGCAACAGAGTGAGACTGTCTCAAAAAAAAAGTAGGACAGATACCATGATTCCAAAGAAAACAACATATAACATATGGCATCTTCTTAGACTAACCTGGTGGCAAATGATGCCCATACATTTGTGGTCTGTACTCACTTATCAAGCAAACAGACTTTAACTTATTACTATGTAAAAGGCTACATTGCTCAGTTAGGCTGAGCTAGGCAGAGAAACAATATCATATTTAAATATGAAGTTAAGTCAACTACCAAAGCACCAGGCATCAATGGACACAAAGACACTAAAACCAGTACCATAAATATAAAACAGCTCATCTTCTCATCCAGAAAATGCCCCCAAAAAGTATGAGAGGTCAGATGCATTTTTTCTTTCATTTAATTTTTAAAAATTTCTTTTTAATATTAGTTTATAATCTATCTGGACCAGCTTGTTACTATTTTTCTTTAAATTTTTCTTTTGTAAATTTCAAAAAGTACTATCATTTCCTATAACATATTCAGAAAACCTAAACGTATGATCTTCCAAACAAGAATGTAAGCTCCTTAAAGGCAAGGTTCTTGTCCATCATGCTCAACACAGCCTGAGCACCTGACACGGTGGCTGACGCTAGGTAAGTGCTCAGTAAGTATGTGTAGAAATGAGAAAAGGCAAATAACATGAAAAGTGAAAGGTACTCCAATATTTTACCTTTCTCTGCTCAATCATCTATATAACATACAAGTACACAAAAATTAGATCATACCATAAATACTATTCTTTAACTGCTTTTTTTCCCTTCTAAATTTTCTTATTTCTAGCTTCAAATTATCTTGATTCCTTTAATGTCCTGTCAAGCTCCAGAACTATGAATTCTTAAAGACCTAAAGAATTTTTAGCCCAAGGCTTTGGGCCATTTGCTGGGTTTTCTTAATCTTTGTAAGTCAGGATTGTATTAATGCTACATTTATCTGGAAATATAATAGCAAGCAATGTGATGCTCCATAGACATGACTTTTCTAGATAATTCCCCTTTTTATGAAAAAGGTTTCAACTTTATTAGTCATCAGAGAAATGCAAACCAAAGCCACAGCATAATACTACACCCACCAGCTAATCCCTTTATTTTAATAACAGCTTTATTGAGATACATTTCAAATACCATACAATTTACTCATTCAACGGTTTTTAGTATATTCACAGTTGTGCAACCATCACCACATTTGACATTAAAACACTTCTATCATGCTGAAAAGAAACTCACACCCATTAGTGGTCACTGTCCATTTCCTTCCAAGCCCTCAACCCTAGACAACCATCAGTCTACTTTCTTTCTCCATAGGTTTACCTATTCTGGACATTTCATAAATAGACAGTAACTCCTTTTCTAAAATGTTAATCGTTTGGGGAAAAATTTTTTTTCTTAAATGACATCCGGTCTTTCCTTTCTGAAACAGATTATATAAAACCCAAGTTAACCCTACTTGATACTCAATGTTCATCATTATAAATAACAAATACATTATCAGAAATATTACAATGAGGTGATACCTCATTGCTTTTGAGATCTATCAGGTCGTTTGAGCTTCCACTGCCCCCAGGATACAGTGCCTAAAAACTAGAAAACAGAAAGAACTGTTCTTCCTATAATTCTAGTATCTCTTTTCTCTGCAGGCTGCTCTCAGTCTTCACTCCTGTCACATAAGTTCTGCTGTATAATCTACAATATATAACTTCCTGAAGTAGCTTATGAAAAAGACAACCTTTTTTATCAAGTAAATTTCACTGGTTTGGTTGGATACATAGACTTAATGAAAATGACTTATAGAAGTAAACAGAGCAATTTTTTATTTATTTTTACAGGTTCCAAGTCACTGGCTCTAACTTTTGCCTTTATCACAATCTTCTTCAAAGAATTGCCTATATTCTGTCTGCTTTCTCACTTCGCATTAAGGTGCTAAGATCTCTAATGCCTTCCTAATTAAGCAATTCGAAGGTTACTTCTCAGTCTTGGTCTTATTCTGACCACTTTCTCCATCCCTAAATTCTCTCCTTTCTTGACATACAAGAGGCTTCTGCTTCTCCCTCTTGGTTCACCTCCAACCCCCAAATCATTCTTTCCTATACTAACTCTACTTCCTCCCTCTCTCTTTTTCTCTCTCTCTCTCAAATGATGGTTTGTCTTCTTATTCAACCTGCTCCCTGACTGGTAACTTCTGCTGCTTCTCCTGTGGCTCCCTCCTTCATGATGACAACTTCCAAATACATCTTTAGTGCGGACATAGCTCCACTAGACTGTCCCTTAGGTATTCCAAACTCATCAGAGCCCAAGACGGAATTCATTACCCATTCTCCCTTACTCCACAAAACTGTACTCTTCTTGATTTTCCTTTCCTAGTTAATAACATTTCTTCTACCTAGTGACCTAAACAAACTAGAAGCCTGAAAGTCACTTCATTTATTTCCCCTTATTGGCCCTTCACCAACCATCCAACAGACTTACTGATTCATTTCCTAAAGCTCTCACATCCATCTCCTTCTTTCCGTTTCAAATGCTACTGCCTAAGCTCAGGCTCTGTTCATCTCTCACATGGACTTATACAACAGTCTCCTAATTGGTATCTCTGCTTCCAGTCTTGCCTAAATCATCCAATCTTTTCTTTACACTACCACCCAAGTAATCTTAAAAAAAAACATGTAAATCTGATGTAATTCCTATATTTAAACCCTTTTAATGGCTCCTTACTACCTGTAGAACATCCGAACTCCTGAGCACTATAAACAAGTACTCCATGATCTGGCCCCTCTCATATTCTGCCCCCTCTCTCTCACCTTTTCTCCAGGTTTTCTCCATGCAAAATTAATTAGAGTTTCTCAAATGTATCCAGCTATGTCATGTCTTTTGCCCTAGCACCTGGACTGCTCTTTCCTATTTCACTTTAAATATTTATCACATCATTCACCAAACTGTACATGCTATTATTTGGGTATATGTTTATCTCCACTATTAGAATAAAAGCTCTTTGAGAACAGAAGCCATTTCTTATTTATTTTTGATTTTTTTTTTAATTATCAAAACAGAAAACAGTGTCTAGTACACAGTAAGCATCCAATAAACGTTTGCTGGGTAAGCTCTCTGGATAACGTTGTCAAAAACCTAAGCTCTGTATAAATGAGTTGTACTATCTTTTAGTCCCTTCCACAATCCCCAAACCTTTCCACATCCTTCTGTCCTTTATTCCCAGTCATGACAGAACCTGTACCTTAATCTTATAGTCATCTCCTCCAGAGACAAACAGTGGCTGCTGCTTATGGAAGTCAATGCCTCGCACTGGACCTGGGGGAGAAGGCAGGCAATGTATGTTAGAGAGATCTATCCTTTCTAATTTCTAGGGTGATTCCTATTCAAGATTTTTTAGTTCTGTCATTTCCACATTCTTTAATCATAGAGGAATCCATCTCAAACAAGGCTTAAAATACCTCAGAATATAATAAACACTTCTCTTTTAACTTCCTCCTGTCTTACCATCATGTTCATCAAACTTGTCAATGAGAGTGCACATCCGATAATCCCATAACTGGATGACCCCATTGTGTAAACTAGTCAGGATCCAGGGTCTTTTGGGGTGAAAGCTGAGCCCTGAAAAAAAAACAGAAAACGATACAATGAGCTAAGTAAGCTCCCACAATGTCACCTTCTGTCAATTCTGATAAGAAAAAGGAATAGCTAGGTTAATTCTAAGTTCATTTGTTTATTCAACATATCTGATGATTTTTTACTGGATGCCAGACATTGTGAATTTCAAGTTGTTAGGTACTGGATTTTTATTATATTACTTTAAATATTATTGGGCTTTGTTCTAGAATGCAATTAAATTACCTCAGCTAATTCTTTCAAGGCTTGCTTTTAAGTTTCATTACAGTGGGTCACAGCAGCTTCTAGTCTAGGTCTAATTTGGAACGACGGTTAAAGTAATACTCTTCTGAGGTCTGTACGTGAAAACCCGTAGCATCAGGAAGTCTTTCCATTCTGGCTAGTAGGAACGCAAACTATTTCCAACCCTGTGTGAGCTCTAGGGATTGTTCTGCCTTCTCCTTTCCAATGGTTCTTTTCTAGGTTTTGGATGGTTTTCTCACACACATGCAGATCTGTACTCAAAGGCCTAAGGGGACTCCCTGCAGATATCCAGTCCTCTCTCTATGCAGCTCCCTCTTGTCTGGCATTTGCCCAGCAAATTATAACTGTCTTTGCTTCCTCAAACTTTTGTCTCACAGGGCTCTTCGCTCTCCCTTCACTGCAGCCTGGAAACTCTTCCTGGGCAGTAACCTAAGATGACCACAGGACTCATCTTGTTTATTTCCCTTCTCTCACGAATCACTTTCCTCTACTGCCTGTTGTCCAATGTCTAAAAAAATCTGTTTCATACATTTTGTTCAGTTGTTTAAGATGGGAAGGCAAATCTGGTCCTTGTTACTCGATCATGACTGGAAATGAAAGTTCCCATACATAACAACTATTAACGGTCTGGAGTATATCCTTTCAGATTTTTAATGCAGTTATGCATAAACATAGGCCTTATTATTTTATGAACATGGGGATCATATTATAATGTTCTGCAAATTTCTTTTCTCACTTACCTACATGATATGGACCTCATTATATTTAAGTACGTATAAATATAACCTCATTCTTTTTAACTACAAGGTACAAATGTACCACACTTATATTATTCTGATAGGTATTTAAAATTTTCTCCCCAATTTTTGGCTATCAGAAGAGCCTCCTGAAGGTACTTCTACACATAATCTAGACTATTTGCATTATTACTGCTTTAGGCTAAAGACCTCAAAGTGGAATTGCTTAGGAATAGAGTATGTACATTTAACATTTTGGTAAATACTGTTTAATTGTAAAAACGCTATACAGTCTCACCAAGTTTATGAAGGTACCCATTTGGCATACACTGACCAACACAGGATGTTATCAGTTACTTGCTAGTTTGTTTTACTAATCTAACACCCCCAAGCATTTCTTTCGTGATTAGTGAGGTGGAGCTATTTTCATAATTTATTGAACATTTATATTTCTTCTAAATTGCCTATTTTCTCCTCAGGTTGTTCTTTTTTTTTATTATTATGATATGCAGGAACACTCATTAATGATTTTTTTTTTTTTTTTTTTTTTT